CTCGGGTCCCAAAAGCAATCATAAGCAGTCCTTTCATTAGTCCAACAATTAGCGCAAGTACATGTACTAGCATATTAACCAAAAATATATTCAAATTATTGTACGATAATCAAACATCTCATTAAGCACTGGAGGCAGTGGATCTCCAAAGGCAATCCTAGCCAAGCTCTAGTTCAATCCAAACAAGATGATAATATGATCACTCCATTCCAAACCCTTCTCTCGTTATCAAACAGAATAAAAATAAATAAATGAAAATAATTTTTTTTAAAAAAAAGGCCATATTCTTTGTACCTGTGACCCTAAATTAGTCACAGCCAAAATTATTCTTTGACTAATATATAGCGCAAAAATGAACATCCAAAACTTTTTGTGTTAGTTCCCAGAAACCAAAGCGGGAAGTTTCGATAATGGGTATCAATAGAGCGCTTTCCCTTACATTTATGACCCATTTCTTTATTTATAGTATAGGACTGTCAAAAATAAACCGGGTCTACTAGAGGTCTCTGAGAAGTCATGTACGGAAAGTATAGCGCTTTTTCATTACATGACATATTTCAGAATCCTTCACAAAAAGCGTTTCTGATTGTCTATTGTCATTTCCTTTTCCTCTTATATTTTTTCTTGAAAATATCTTCATTTTTTATTGAATTTTCAATAAATTAATCAAACTGACATTCAACCTTCTGGAAATGTGTAACTGGAGATGATCAGATATGGTAAGGTTGCTAATGACATAGGCTGGATAGTTGGTAAGGTTGATAATGACATTGCTAAGCTTGATAAATGGTAAGGTTGATAATGACATTGCTAGGCTAGGCTTATAGTTGGTAAGGTTGATAATGACATTGCTAGGCTAGGCTTATGGTTGGTAATTTAAGGTTGATAATGACATTGCTAGGCTTATAGTTGGTAAGGTTGATAATGACATTGCTAGGCTTATAGTCGGTAAGGTTGATAATGACGTTGCTAGGCTTATAGTTGGTAAGGTTGATGATGACATTGCTAGGCTTATAATTGGTAAGGTTGATAATGACATTGCTAGTCTAGGCTTATAGTTGGTAAGGTTGATAATGACATTGCAAGGCTAGGCTTATAGTTGGAAAGTTTGATAATGACATGGCTAGGCTAGGCTTATAGTTGGTAAGGTTGATAATGACAATGCAAGGCTAAGCTGGATAGTTGGTAAGGTTGATATTGACATTGCTAGGCTTGATAGTTGGTAAGGTTGATAATGATACTGCTCAGGTAGATCGTAATAAACATTTAATGCTTAAAACATCAAAAATTCAATTGATCACCAATTTGTCACATGTAAAAATAATCATTATCGTTTCTACAGAGACAATATCTGCTCAGTGTGCACGCTGTGAAATACAGGAAGAAAATGAAGATTGTAAGCACTTTTTCCTTCCTTTTTTCAATATTAAATTAATTAAAGGGGAAACATATAATCAAATAGCCATTATTTTTAACAAACCTGGGTCAAATTGTCAAGTGAGCTGTAATGATCAATGTTTGTTCATTGTCACCGTCTTCCTTGGAAGACGGTACACAGGGGCTTGCTCCCGGCGTGTAATAATTATTTATTAAAAAAATCATATACGTTAATACGAAAACTACACAAGGGAGGACGCCTATTTTTTTAGAAGGAAGAACGTATAAATATTTAAGGGCAGATATCGGTAACGAAAAACACTTTGAAAATTCTCTAGAACATCGAGTCATAGACGATAAAATAAATTTGAAAGATTCAATAGTGCATTCAAGTTTGTCAACACTATTCTAAAGATAAAAGGAAAGCTAGATTCTAAATTCTATCATAAATATATTTGTGGTTCGAAAGCAATCAAGCTAACATTTTCAAAATACATGTAATATTTGAAAAAAAAAATATGTACAATTCATGACCCTAAAAGCAACGGTCCGCTCACAATAGCTTGGGATCCAAACTTTTCACGGGTTTTTAAAGAAATATATTTAGGACACCTCCCTTCACTCCCGTATAAAAAAATGCATTTGAACAGCCTGATACTATTGTACACTGAGTTTATTGAGACGTTTGTTTAAACTCTGACGTCATTTATAGGTTCACCTGACTGCTGGGATGCAAGATCTAAGATTGTCTCCTATTCTTTAGTTTCCGGGGATGATCAATCAAAACAGCGTAGTAAGTTTTTTTTTTTTTTTTTGTTAATTTTTCAATTCAAATTCATTAAAGTTAATGTTGGGCAACTGATCTCACCTATAGAGTTTCCAGAACTTCGCCTTTTTCATCATACTCTTAATTTGTTTGTTTGTTGTTTGACGTCCCTTTAGAGATTTTTTCACTCATATGGAGAAGCCACCACTTGCCAGTGGATGGCTGCAAATTTAAGCTTTTACTCGGCACTGAGGGCCATTGAGCAGTGAAGATCTTTTTCGTGCCAGCACCTAATGGGACACGGGACCTCAGTTTATAAGTTCTCATCAAAAGGACTTATATTCATAATTTGACATTCATTCCGGTTGTGGAACATCATGATCTTGCTTTTCCTAATTGTTTTAATTTCAGTAGGTAATATTCAGGCGTTATATAAAAATTGAATTGTTTAAACGAATTTAATTTGATATTTTGAATTTAATATCAGGTCAAATTGTTCAAATATGGAATATGCAATATATGTTAGAAATTCTTTTTCACTATACTTGACCTGACCTCAAGCAGTCAAATTTGGCAATAATGATTTGATGATAATGTATAAAGCTCTATACCAAAACTGAAATTTATTAACCCTTGAATTGGTTCGGGTTTCAGGATGGGCTAAGTTGGTCATTTATTGAAACTACATTACACATTTGAAATTCTTGCTCTTTACACCTAGACATTAAGCAAAAAATCTGATTGCATGATTATAGTGAGTACTAAACTCTTTATCAAAATTTTAAGGTTTATGTCACCTTGATTCAGGGTTCAGGTCCAACGCTGGGCTAAGTTTTCTTACATAATAAAAATGCACTACACCTTTAGAAATGCTGATTTTGAACCAGAAAGCACTCAAGTATTTGAATTACAACCTATCATTATTTTAAATGCTTTTGATTTCTAGCTTTAGCTCTAAAGTATCTTATTCTTTCCTTTCTTCGCTCGCCAGGAAATGAAGACCAATATAAGACGCCTTCCGATAATTCCAAAAATACACAGGTCAATGTATTTAACGGTTTGTATTGTCAAAAATTATATTTCTTGTTGTTCTTTTTTTTCCAGTTGTGTTTAACAGAACAATCATCCTACTTTCTGGAAAAAAGACCTGATTACATGATGAAAAACACTAACCTTTTTTATGAGAGGAAAATACAGTTAATTAAGACTTTGTATGACCATTGCCATCCGTTCTTTTTTTCATGTCGTGTTTTTCTCCCATCTACCATCCAGTTGTCGAAAAGTCTACATCTTTACACAATAAAATCCTCTATTACTGTAAATCACATTTTATTCCCGAGAATTTTACTTTCCCGTAATTACGCAAGGCCGACTGCACGATAAAATTTTATTTTTGCGTTTAATTCTACTAATAAGAATTAAATAGAACAATAACCAAAATTCATGAAATAAATACCAAATAACAATCTCGCGAAAATAAGGTGTCGCGAATGTTTAGTAATCTACAGTATCAAACCTGACACATTACTTCCACTCGAGCCCATGCCTTACATTGTATATATTAATCTGGTTCCCGAAAAGAGCAAGTCTTGCATATGGAAATTAAACTTGAATGCAGTTCACGTAATATTCATCTTTTTGACTGAAATATTACTGACAGCTGAATTGTTTTGTGTGTAAAGCCTGAAATAACTGAACATTTATTTTCAATAGATTGCCCTTTGTATGAAAATTTCAAAGAACAATTCCTTTTGCGTATGATTTAAATTCTGATATTTGATTTTTACAAAAGGTCACCCAATTACCTCTACAGATTGCTGGAGCAGTGGCTGTTCTATCAATGAAATGTACAATGACGTGCATATGTGACGGTACATATTGTCGTTTTGTAGATATCGTCGGCGACAATATGTACAGTCAAGGTCGGCATATATTGTCGTCGATGTATTGATTTGACGGATATTTAATACATGTATATACTTGGAGGTAATAGTTTTTTTTTTGTTCACTAGTAATGATTATTTGGAAATTATTCTTTGCTTTATTCTTATAAAGAATCATGTGCCGATATAATTCGTGTAGAGGTTGACATTTTAGTCACCTGAACTGGAAGTTCAAGTGAACTTTTCTGATCACATTTAATTTTGTCTGACCGTCCCTTTAGCTGTAAACTTTTCACAATTTCAGCTCCTTCTCAAGAACTACTGGGTCAATTACAACCAAACTTGTCACAAAGCATCCATGGACAAAAGGGATTCAAGTTTGTTCAAATAAAGGGCCATGTCCTCTTTCAAGGGAAGTTGTTAAGAATTAGTGAAAATTTAGTGACACCTTTTAAAAATCTTCTCAGGAACCACTGTCAGAAAAGAACTACTGGGTCAGAAGAGATGATACTTATGTAAAAGCTTCATTATATAGCGTACATTCAATATTGACGTGCTGGCACGAAAAAGGTCCCTCACTGCTCAATGACCCTTAGTGCAAAGTATAGCCCTCCACCGGCAAGTGGTGACGCCTACATACGAATGAAAAATTCTCGAGATGGACATTATAACAACAAATAAACAAACAAAAACAAAATCAATTTTGTTCAAATCATGACCCCAGGAGTAGAGTAGGCCCACAATAGGTGATCAAAGTTTTACATTAGAATACCGGTAAATACAGAACATCTTTAAAAATCTTCTCAAAAACCATTCAAATGTAGCACCGGTGCACCCCCCCCCCCCCGGCAGTTGAATATTTTTTTTTTTTTGTGCTTTTGGTAAATTCTGTTTGTTTAACTTGCATATGCTCTCAATTTAGTCCACAGGTAAAAATTTCATAAATAATTTACTCACCCGGTATGAAGTAACACCCGTTACTATATAAATGAATTTTTTTTTTTTTTTTTTTTTTTTTTTTTTTTTTTTTTTTTTTTTTTTTTTTTGCTTGTCAAAAAAAAAAAATTCTGATGACCCCCTGTGACGGTACATAATGTCGTTTTGTACATATTATCGTCGGTGACAATATGTACTTACCCTCACTGCACATATTGTCGTCCATCGGTATATATTGTCGCCGGCTGAAAAGTTACACATGTACATATTGTCGCTGGCGACATTATGTGCCTCACCCTCACGGTACATATTGTCGCCCCACAGATATTGCTGCTTACAGATTTCTTCTGTTGTGTTTGGTAGTTTTGTGAATGTAATTGGTGTGTGAATCTCACTGACGTGTCTCGTGTACTAGTTTATCGTCTGGTGTAACGACGAAAAGTGACCCCCGTAGAATATGGACCGGGGGGCCAAATTTCTACGTAGAAAAATGAACCGATGGACGACAATATGTGCAGTGAGGGTAGGCACAATATGTACAAAACGACAATATGTACCGTCACAGCATATCAATAATGCACTATTTGATCTACTATCAATCCTATTTTGAATGAATACTTGCACAGATATAAATATAAACAATAAAATGTCTTTCTTTGTTTGTTAGTACGGGAATTAACGTTGCAGCTATTGCAGAAAAAATTACATAACCCGCTTACGCGGGCTATGCATTTTTTTCTGCAACAGCTGCAAAATTAATTCCAGCACTAACAACCAAAGAAAGCAGTTTATTGTTTAATTTTATACATCTCTGATTTTTTTTCTTGGTTTTGTTTCGTTTTGTTTGTTTTTTACAATCTTTCAAAAGGATTAATTACAGTGTAGTTCATATTACATGAAGTAAGCTGTGCCAAAGAAGGGAACTATTGATATACACATGTTTACGTATTTATTGTAAATTATCTAAACGAAACGGATAAGCGCAAATTAATTAAACTGGTTTTCAGTCCTAGCTTTCGTCGCTCGATTTTGTTCTAAATTTTGTCTTAACAGATTTTGATTTACTTAGATCAACAAATTTTGCGACATTTTCGTGAGATAGTCATCTGGTTTTTATAATCTACGAAAAAAACCACGAGGTTTTTTTTTTTTTTTTTTTTATATCATCACACATATAAATCTTGAATACACGTATATATATAAATATATGCGAAAATGAACTTTCCGAAAGTAGACGGTCTAGTGCAACGACGAAAAAATACATTTATGGTAAAAAAAAAAACCCCAAAACTATTTACATATCGCATACATTGTATACGGATAAAGGAAAACGGATTTAGCCCTTATTATTAGTGTCCAAACAAAAAGGTTCTGAATCAACCTTGGTGGGGAGAGGTATGGCGAATATTTACTGGATATATATATATAGTTCTGTATGAAACAAAATATGATTGAGGCCCGTTTTTTCCCGTTTTTATTTCCAACCCTGTGCAACCCAACTAAATATAATTAGTGCAGTTTAAACAGAAAATCTAATTTCAGACTCAGTTCCCCTGGAGGTCATTTTGATTGGACCCCGTAGTGCTGGAAAAAGTGCGACAATTAACACCATAATAGGAGAGAATGTGGCAAGATCAACGACAGGCCTCAGTTCCGAATCAACTACCAAGAACATCACCAAATATCCTGTAAAAGATCTCAACATTACTTTAGTGGACACACCAGCATTAAAAGAATCAGTAATTAGGAAACTAAATCGTACACTAACAGGAAGTGACGTCATAGGGTTTGTTATTCCTGCTCAAAGAATACAAGAGGAAGAGATATCATGTGTCAGGATTTTTCTAAAAACTTTTAAAGATTTTTTTCCTAGAAGTTTAATTATACTTACGAGAGGAAACAACTATCACGCAGATGACTTTGATTGGGAAGCTATAGAGGAATTATTCAAGTTATATAAAGCAGTTGAACAGAGAATTGTTGTATTCGAAAACAAATTTGAAACACAACAGAAAAGAAAAGATCAGATCGAGAAGTTCCTGTGTACTATAAATAAATGTAAAGCTTTACCTCGGCTGTCAAGCGTTGACAAATTTGTTAAGCTAAAATCTGCAGTTGCATTCCATGTTGTTGCATGTATTGAAGAAAGTTGCAAATTCATATTTCAAACAGGTATTGAAACGATTGGAAGGATTTTTATTGATATCTCAGAGTGTGTCAATGCTCTTCGAAAGTCTGTTTTTTCAACTGCACCTTTGTTAAAGACTGTGAAGAAAGCTTTTCTAAACACTGTAGTTTTAATTCCACCTTTTACAATTGTACCTGTTATTGCATCTTCGGTGATCATGATGTCTTGTTACCATTCCATATTATGGACATATTTTCAACCTGATTCGTGCTTCATAAATTACATTTCTTGATTTTTTCCCCCCAATATTTGGCTCGAACACAGTTTCATGGCATCAAGTAGCTGAGTGAAGATATCCCATGCCTTGTTTATTATATACGAATACAAAATAAAATGAATTTTGTTGTAAAAAAAATGGAACATATGTGTAATGAAAATACTAGTTCTTATAATACTTGCTTTAACTTACTATTTAGAATGATGTACAGTATTGAAAGGTTAAGAGATCATACCAATTTTAAATATTAGATTTAAGGAAAGACCCAGTTAAATGGTGTTTGGAAGAGGGTGGAGAAGAGTTCTAACCCCCCATCCCCCTCTCTCTCTGAATCTTTTGCATGTGCCTTTTAGAACCAGGTAATCTGTGCATATTTTCTCTCTCTCCGGCTTGTTCAAACAGTTGAAATGTCTATGAGTTCTTCCAAAGTGAAACCAATTACTTTATAAATTGCGGGGAAAGGACGTATTGTTTTTAATTGTTATTAATTTGAGATAAGATCTCAAAGAACTGACAAAATGAGGTAAAATATTGTAATTTTTACGGAACACAATTACGTCACATCACACGAGTGATTTAACTTGAAAATTTAACGGAAGAAATACCGGTGTTATAGAGTAGGACTCCCCCACAGTAGGATTTCCCCTGAAAAATCGGGGAGGGGGGGGTATTCTGCTCTAGAGGAGAATTTTAGCAGGGAGAAATTCTACTGCAGTCCCTACCCCTTTTTATTATCAATCAAAGTTAGATTTCCTCCTCCTTAACGTTGTAATATAATTTCATTTTTAAGTGGTAGTAATCCAGTAAACATTATTTTAAAGGATGTGGATAGAATTTGTTTGATTTTTTAGAGAATTCGTTGCATTCTAGAATCTATAGGGGTACTGACCCCCCCCCCCCTTTTTTTTTACTTCCTTTCAGAGAAGCGATAATTAGGCACTAATACAACTATAGAAAATCAAAACGTCAATTGGTGTACTAGTTTAAGCTTAGAATATACTAGACATGGCCATATTCACCGTGTATATCCCAACATACGGGGTGTATGCTATGTTGTGCACGGGGTGTATGCTTTCGAAGCGATAGAAAGTGGGTTCCGAGGATCAGAGCAAGATTTACGTTTTGTGTTTATGATCAAATATCAGAACAAAGCTTAGCTTTATCATCACTTTCATATTACTGTGAAACACATGTTACTTATATAAATGTACATCTATGTATAGATTGTCTGTAAATAAAGTAGTTTCTCGACCTCCTTTCTATCGCTTCGAAAGCATACACCCCGTGCACAACGTACATAGCATACACTCTGTATGTTGGGATATACACATTGATATTGTGGATTATAAAATTACAAAGTTTAATTACCTTTATATATTGTAAATATAATTCATATAGTATTCATAATAGTTAATATCTTTTTCTTATTAAATAATACCAATTTTAAGAAATGAAATACCCCGGTATACTATGTGTAAGATATGCAGAGCATTAATTATGTGAGGGGGGGGGGGTCTATTCTAGTGTAAAATTCCCCTCTTGCAATTTCAGTGGGGGGAATTCTACTCTGAAGCCAGTTTTCCTCGCGAAGGGAATACTACTTTAGAGCTGGATTTCCGAGGAGGTTGTGCTCTAAGAGTCAGCTTTCCTGGGTGAAGGGGGGGGGGGGGGGTCCAACGGCATGTTATTATGAGTTTGCACCGCGTGGTTATACTTGCTTATGAAAACGCTGAATTAAGAGGGCTGGGTGGTTGTGGCCATTTTCAGACTATATTGATCTCCTTTAGAAGAAGAGCTCCATATAAAGATATAAAAATGGTCAAATTTTAAAACTAAAATGTATATTTTTGTTTGCCAAATGATAGTTGACAGCTTAAGATATCATATCTAAACAAGAGGCCCATGGGCCACAACGCTCACCTGAGTCAATATGGCCCTGTTGTTCTTCGTCAGCAGATTTTTCTCCTATATATTCATATGTAAAGTTTTGATCGCCTGTCACCAAACTTGAATCTATACTACCTGAGGACGTTTCCATATCAATATGACTCATCATGGCTTTGATGTTCTTGAGAAGAAGATTTTTTAAAGATATTTCCTATACATGTTCTATTGTAAAACTTTGATCCCCATTATGGCCCCACCCTACTACTGGAGGATGCCTTGAACAAACTTGAATCTACAATACCTGGATGCTTCCATATCAATATGACTAATCATGGCTTTCCTGTTCTTGAAAAGATTTTTAAAGATTTTTCCTATATATTCCTATGTAAAACTCTGATCCCACATTGTGGCCTCACTCTACCCTCAGGGGTCATTATTTGAACAAACTTGAATCTACACTACCTACGGATGATTCCATATTCAATATGACTAATCGTTGCCTTGTTATTCTGTAGAAAAAGATTTTAAAGATTTTTTTTTATATATTCCTATGTAAAACTTTGTTCCCTCATTGTGGCCCCACCCTACCCCCGGGGGTCATGATTTGAACAAACTTGAATCTACACTACCTGAAGATGATTCCATATCAATATGACTAATTGTGGCTTTGTTGTTCTTGAGAAGAAGATTTTTTAAGATTTTTCCTATATATTCCTATGTAAAACTTTGATCCCCCATTGTGGCCCCACCCTACCCCTGGGGGTCATGATTTGAACAAACTTGAATCTACACTATATAATGAAGGTTTCACATAAGTTTCAACTTTTCTGGCCCAATGGTTCTTGAGAAGAAGATTTTTAAAAGATGACACCAAATTTTCACCAATTCTTAATTATCTCCCCTTGGAAGAGGTCATGGCCCTTCATTTGAACAAACTTGAACCCCCTTCACCCAAGGATGCTTTGTGGCAAGTTTGGTTGAAATTGGCCCAGTGGTTCTGGAGAAGAAGTCGAAAATGTGAAAAGTTTACAGACAGACAGACGGAGTACAGACAAAATGTGATCAGAAAAGCTCACTTGAGCTTTCAGCTCAGGAGCTAAACATTTAGTTATATCTGATGGTTAATTTGTTGACCCCCCAGCCTCCTTAAGGTAAAACGCAAGTCTTATACGAGGGGCATTTGAAAAGTTCTGAGAACTGCTTGCTAAAATATTAACCCTTTCACGTAAGTTAATAAGTTTCATACCATTGAAAAGAGCTGGAAAATTTGCACTTATACTAACGTTACTTTCGTATATTGTCAATCAGAAACGAGAAGAAGTCTTTTGCTGTGGCCTTCAATTCAACAATTAGATACATCAATTAACAATATTCATTATCATTCCTACGTTGATTTCACATATCCATTTGAACAAGAAATTGAAGACACCACAGAGTCTGACATATCTGTTCATATTTTGATACTTTACTTGAAAAAGACGTTAATGGTAACCTAACAACAAAACTTTATATAAAAATGATGACTTTAACTTTTCTATCGTCAACTTCCCTCATTTATGTAGCAATATAACATTATCACCTGCATATGTAGTTTACACCTCCCAGTTGATTCGACAAGCTAGAGCATGCTCTATTTATGAAAAATTTCTAAAATGGGACAACTTTTCACAAATAAGTTAATGAAACAAGAATATCAACAGTTTCATTTTAAGTCAACATTTCTTCATAAAATGACTTTTTAGCTCACCTGAGCTGAAAGCTCAAGTGAGTTTTTCTGATCACCCGTTGTCTGTCGTCCGTCCGTCTGTCTAGCTGTCCGTCCGTCCGTCTGTAAACTTTTCACATTTTCAACTTCTTCTCAAGAACCACAGGGCCAATTTTAACCAGACTTGGTACAAAGTATCCTTGGGTGAAGGGGAGTTTAAATTGTTAAAATAAAGGGCCAAGTCCCCTTACAAGGGAAGATAATCAAGAAAAGACAAAAATAGGGTGGGGTCATTAAAAAATCTTCTTCTCAAGAACCACTTGGCCAAAAAAGCTGAAACTTACGTGGAAGCATCCTGGGATAGTGTAGATTCTAAATTGTTAAAATTATGACCCCCGGGGGTAGGGCGGGGCCACAATAGGGAATCCAAGTTTTACATTGAAATATATAGGAAAAATCTTTAAAAATCTTCTTCTCAAGAACCACAGGGCCAGAAAAGCTGAAACTTATGTGGAAGCATCCTGGGGTAGTAAAGATTCTAAATTGTTCAAATCATGACCCCCGGGGGTAGTGCAGGGCCACAATAGGGAATTCAAGTTTACATTGAAATATATAAGAAAAATCTCTAAAAATCTTCTTCTCAAGAACCACTGGACCAGAAAAGCTGAAACTTATGTGGAAGCATCTTGGGATAGTGTAGATTCTAAATTGTTCAAATCATGACCCCCCGGGGGTAGGGTTGGGGCACAATAGGGAATCCAAGTTTTACATTGAAATATGTAAGAAAAATCTTTAAAAATCTTCTTCTCAAGAAAAACTGGGCCAGAAAAACTGAAACTTACGTGGAAGCATTCTCAAGTAGTATAGATTCTGAATTGTTCAAATCATGACCCCCCGGGGGTAGGGCGTAGCCACAATAGGGAATCCAAGTTTTACATTGAAATATACAGGAAAAATCTTTAAAAATCTTCTCAAGAACCACAGGGCCAGAAAAGCTGAAACTTATGTGGAAGCATCCTCAAGTAGTGTAGATTCTAAATTGTTCAAATCATGACCCCCGGGGGTAGGGCGGGGTCAAAATAAGTAATCCAAGTTTTACATTGAGATATATAGGAAAAATCTTTAAAAATCTTCAGCTCTCAAGAACCACTGGACCAGAAGAGCTGAAACTTATGTAAAAGCATCATGGGGTAGTGTAGATTCTAAATTGTTCAAATCATGACCCCCGGGGGTAGGGTGGGGTCACAATATAGTATTACAAAGGGGAAATCTGGTAAAGAACAGCATGGCCAAAGTTACTCAGGTGAGCGATGTGGCCCATGGGCCTCTTGTTTAGCATATACAATCTATCATTAAGTCGTACTCGAATGTTGTGAAGTTTTTCATACAAATTGTTAGGTCGTTACTTTCACACTGAATTGTCTACGGATTTTTCCGTTTGCCCGATAATGACAAGGAGTACACGGCGGTTGTGACCGGTCGACAGGGGATGAGTACTCCTCCATTGCACCTGATCCCGCCGCTGATGTTTTAACAGGCCCGTGTTTGCTCTGCTCCAAATCTGTATTGTTTCGATGGACTTTTGAGCTTTACCACTGTTCGTTATCTTCATATTCCACTCAAAGTATGCATTTAATAAAAATTAATTCTTTGGTTAACGAAAACATGGACCAAAGATCCACTATCTTAAAATTACACAATATTTGTATTTTCTGAGAAGTCCATTAAGTCAAGGATTCATATCACAAACATTCCTAAATGCCGATAATTGTTAGGAGCGTTATGAAGTGGTAATGGATACTCGGAATTTTTATTGCTTGGGTTCGAACCCCAAGATACATCGGTTGTTTACTTTTTTAAATCATAGAATGATTTTTGCCGAAGGCATTTTCCGCAGAAAAGTTTTGTATAATTTCAGACTTTTCATTGAAAAGAATTTTACTCTAAATACTAAACTCAAACCTCGTGATTTTATAACAGGTTAAAGAAAGAAGATCAGAGTAGTGCTTTACTGTCCAGGCCTCAGGATCATGAAGCAGGCTTAGAATCAAGTCAAAATTAAATATTTATTATAAAAGACTATATTCGGTATTGACCAATATATACCCCATTATCAAACTTTGACAGAAAAATCTAAAATAATCTTCTAAACTAGGGGGATATCTGCAGACTTCGAAGCATTAAATATTTTCTTCAGCTATGTTAGATATGACGACAGGAAAATGACGTAAATTCAAAATATTCATGATTTATAGGGAAAAAAAGGTGTATATTATGTCGATATTTTGAGTAAAAGTCACCAAGCGCAGGTCTGCTCCAACTCAATGTTTTGATATAATGTGTAGCATGATAATTTCTATGAAATATGTGTTTATTGCTAAGGAACAGGTTTGCGCTCTATAAATTTTATAGCAAAAATTGAACAAATTTTGTTCTCTTTGTCCTCTTTTTGAAACATTACGCAAAATCTAAATAGTTTGTGACGTCATAGAAACAAAAATTGTCAATAATCTACTTCGAAACAATAAATTTTTTGTCAATTAAGATTTTTCATATAATATATAAAATTCAGCACATTTCAAGAAATTTTCAAAAATTGTCTAAAATATGCATATACGGCATATAGCTCTTTAGGCTTGATAATTAGAATTAAGAACACGAAAAGGAAACAATTCATATAACATTTCAAATTTAATGTGTATTCATTTATTAAGCCTATAACTACTTTATGATCCTTGGGCAGATGTTGGACTAGTCTACCTCACTGACAATAGTCTGGAATAAGAATTTGAAAATAGAGTATAATTATGGATACTGGTATGCAAAATATTTCTGAATCTTATGAATATGTTTCATTCTATTTATTACTGAGCTCCTCCCACTTCTTCTAGATGAGCTAAAACCCAGTGTCATTAAGGAGGCATAACCCATTTAAGGAAAAACTTCAACAGATGGAAAGTACCGCTATAAGAAATACATGAAAGTTGTGAAGATGGGTTATCCCTCCAAAATATGAAATGTAAAAAAAAATATATGCATCAACAACTTCATATTTATAACATCTATTTAAGGTAAATTCAACATCTTTTCACACAATTTAGGGTCAACATAATACACGTTCTCAGTTCTTTGTGTCTTTTCTGAATGTAAGCTGAGGTCTGGAAAATAAATGTCTGGGAGGATGATCCAGATAGTCCAGGCCTTGTTCATTTCTGTGATAGTAAAGCAGTCTCTGTCGTTGACCCTAGAATTATACTTCATATATGAGTAACTCATCTTCTAACCAAAAGCCAATAAAGAGACCTTATAGGTGTTCCAAAAGTAAGAATGTTTATGCCCTAGCTTTGTAAAGTAGAACCTTATTAGTCCAGACACAAATAATGGGACACTTCACCATCTACAATCGCTGACAAATTTCTTAAACTCTTGTCCATGGGCAATTTCAGTAATCTGGAAGATTTGCTTGGGAACACAAGCATCTTGATAAACAAGGTTCAACATATACTGATCTTTACAATATGTCATGAATCTTTCATATGTTTCATCTTTTTTGACTTAGTGGTTCTTGAGAAGATCTTTGAAGACATTCATTCTATTTTTGCTTTTTCTTGATTATCTCCCCTTCCATAAGGATTGGTCCTATATCTGAATGAACTTAAATCCCCTTGATCCAAGGATGCATTGTAACAAGTTTGGTTGAAAATGGTCTAATGATTCTAGGGAAGTCAAAACAGAAAAGCTCACTTAAGCCTTTGGCTCAGGTTCACCAGCTAAAATAACGTACTTTTTCCCCAACTAAATGTGTTTTCCAATTTGGCATTTAATTACCACCAAAATTAAGGGTATATATTTTGACATACATGTATAATAATTGAACTTGCTACTTATGTTCCTGTTTATTACAAAACAGAAAAATAATTGATAACAAGCAACCAGAAACCTAAAATATGAAATACTTAGTATTTTAATATTTAAAGATTTTCCCAGATTCCAAAACTGCAAAATCTCGCTTATTTTCCCCAATTTAATGTCCTTGGCCCCAGAACCAAGAGGATCGAGGAGTGAGGACCTGATTAGAATGGCTTGATCACAGTACAGGTATAAAACAATAGATATGAACTTACCGTTTTCCATCTAGTCTCACATTCTCGCATATCTTGAAGCTCCTTTGCACATTCCTCATACTCTAAACGTCTGCCTACTTCAAAAGCACACTTGAAAAAATCTTTGTAAAAAAGCAAACAGGGCTGATGATACCCAATGTGATGAAGTAGACCTATGTTAAAATATTGGCGAAATGGGTGGGGAACTTGAAAAACTGGGTACAATCCATTGACTTTATATCTGAAAGAAAGAAAAAATGAAACAACTGAATATTGGAGCAGTTCTGACTGTTTTTTATTAGCAAAACAGAGACTCAAGAACAGAACTCAGTAAAATGAGGGACATTTGAAAATTTCTGAGTCTCAGAATGGTTTGAAAAGATATTATTGTGACATCACTTTGTTTTTTAATGACATAATAACTCAAAAAATGACATCAGTATCCCATGACTTTTGTAAACTCATCATAAAAATGACGAAACAAGACACATTTCAGTAAAGTAAAATTTGAGAGTCAGCTTTAAAACAAAATTTATTCGTTACTTAGATGCATGCAAACAGACACAGTTACCAGTTGGAAGAAGAAAAAATCGTGAATGATAACTAAAGAACTACTGATGAAATTTTTTATTGTCATTAAAAGAAACTAATGAAATTGACAATTTCATGAGAAAAGTTGATGTTGCAGACTTTGGTGGCATTCATTTTACAGGTGTTTTAACTAATTTGCAGGAACAATTAAAGCTTGAAGGAGAGCAGGGCATGTTTACAATTCTTGTAATATTAATTAATTGAGTAATTCATTGATCCACATATATTAGATCAGGTCTCGCCATCACCAACGTCCCTAAACTCAATATTAAGCCTCAACTCTGAATTACCGGTAATGTATTTTCACTATAATATATAACCAAAAGAGTCCTGCCCTAACACCTGAACCACTAATCCAGGATTATAATCAATTTTGGATTAAGCACCTTTGATCATCAACAACATAATCATGCACTTAGCTTGTTCATTTAATACCCAAGAGCAGAGAAGAAAATTTTCAAAGAATGCATTTTGACTATAAGATCAATAGAATCCCTCCCTAATACCAGAACCCCTGAACCAGGGATCCATCGTAACTCCAAAACTCCCCCCTCCCCAACCCTGGGGCCATAAATTTCTTTAGGCTTATTACAATCATACCAAGAGTCTGACTGCTTGCTTCCAGGAGTAAAGAAGAAGATTTTTTTTAAAGATTTCATTAATTTTTTATGGTGTTTGCCCCACCCCTCAGACCCAAGGCCATGAATTTAACAGTTTTTGTCTGGCCCCTTTACCAGTAGATGCTTTATGCCAAAAACGGTTGATATTTTGGTTCAGCAGTTCCAGAGAAGAAGCTGAAAATGTTTAATGTTAACATAAAACAATGATGGACAAAAACAGATAGTGCTCAATGTCACCCGAGTGACTCCGGTGACCTAAAAAAGGTAAGAGTCTTGTAATAAGAAATACGTAAGGACACGTTAAGAAACTGCTTTGTTATTCAGTTTTATATAGAATGCTTTGTTGAGTACAGTGGAAAGTTATATAACAGACCAAAAGTCCAGCTAATAAAATCATATAAGTAAAAATCTTTTATGAAAAGTCTATGATGATGTAACCAATCATAAACTGGGCCTGTTTATCTCAACCAACCAAAAAGTGAAATATGAATTGCTGATTTGCACTACCATTTTTACAGTCTAATTCTAGTTCTATGCAAATTTTCTATGAAAACTCTTTTCAAAGAAGCCCTTAATAGCCATATTACGATGTTCTTACACAGACAAAAAACGAAAAGTGAGTTAATAGACTACGTGTAAGAACAGAGGAAATTTGAATTGAAATTTGAATATTCATCAAGCAAATTATTGTGTTAAACCTTCTTGAATTCTTTCCCAACCACAATTCCATGCAACCACAAGCCCACAGTTAGGGTTGGATACCGTTAAGGATGAAACGGTAAGATACCATACCGGTATTTTTGAAACGATACAGTATTTTTAACGATACGGTACTATGCATTGATGAATGAGAATGAGGGTTCATTTTATAACAAATGTGCTTTCTCCATTCACTAACCTTTCAATGATATATCTAAAATGAGCTTATAAACTATGTTCCATGCTTTTAAGAGATAACAATAGATATTCCTAATATTCAAATTACAAACATTTCATTTCAACCTTTTAATAATGATCAACAAAACAAATCAATTGAATCCCAAACAAATAATTTGCACAAATCGGCTGCTTCACCTGGTTGCCAGGACCCCTTTTGTTTGGTTGCACTAAATGACGAAACTTTAGATAATGGATAGATCACATTTTTTGCGACATTTTGCCTTTTTAATTTACATTTATTATCAGTTTTTATTTGTAAAATTAAAATAAGATTCATGTGAATGTATTCTGATTTTTCTAAAAAAAAAAAAAATACACATTGATTTACCTCGAATATCGGCAGTCGAAAGTAAGTATTGTTCTAAGAATCCATTTCGTTACATGTAATTAGCCTACCCTTTCAATGAGCAGAGAATTCAATTTTAGCAAGTTAGGAATCGTTATTATTTTTAAACAAATTGAATGTATTAAAATGTTTTAAAGATTAAGAAGTACCGTTATTAGTACCGGTATTAAATGAAACGGTATTTTACCGGTATTTTTTAAGTAACTATTCGGTAAGGTATTGGTACCGAGTACTGGTATCCAACCCTACCCACAGTTAATGTGAAGACTGAATTCTCACAAAGAGCTTAAAAGAAACAAAAATTAATTGCATCAACTCTTCAATACCTTTCATTAAAAATTTGCACTATTTAGACTCTGCTATGGAAGTGCAACTAAAATGCGATGTCAAGTGACATCACTGTCTACATCGTTTTGTGCAGTTTGAAGTTTGAAGGGGCTGATCAAAGTTGTAAACTATGTAAAGGTTTTTGATTGTATAAAACTGTGCTCGACCAAACAGTCACATTGTAAAACAGTAAAAAATATAATACAGATCTACAAATAGTAATGATATCTGTAACTTTTTTTTTCTATTTTATATCTGTTATTAAGTTGATTCAATATATTGTTTTGTTTTGTTTTTCTTGGGGGGGGGGGGGGGGGGGGGGGTTTCAGTATAGTTTTGTGGATTTAATTTTGACTACATTGGATTACCGTAGTTGTGTGTAAAATGCAGTGATTTATTTTGGTCTGTGTCCTGCGTAAATTAGGATGAATTTTGCTCAGGACATATTTTTTTCAATAAATGTGCATTCCAAAGGACGCATTAAATTTATAGAAGGACATGACATTGTATTATTTTAAATTATTTTGGTATAATCTGGTTCAAAACTTGGCCGATTCACATGCTAGGTGATATGCATGAGCGATTATAAAGGTACGAGTTTGCCATCACCAGGTCAGATTTCACACTTCACTGTTAAATTACAGTTAACAATTAAGCAATAAACAGAAAATAGTTGAAAGTTAGATAACATAGTTCGATTATGTCTGCTGTGTAACATACTCGGCACTCAGGGCCATTGAGCAGCGAGGGATCTTTTTTATGCCAACACCTACTGCAACAAGGGACCTCGGTTTATTCAGTCTCATCAGAAGGACCGGTCTCCACGTCCCACAGTGGGATTCGAACCTGCGACATATGGATCAGCTCCTTACTCTGCGACTCTAGAGCAGACACTCTAACCACTGCGCCATGCAGGCGACAGAACCAAGGTGCAGAGTTGACAAAATATTATAATATTTTTATGCCACAAAATTGTGTATTCAACTGTCTTCCAATTGAAAATAATAGTATAAACCACTCACAGATACAATAAAACGATTGCACTTTCATGCCATACCCTTTTATATTTCACCAGAATTTCCTCTGTAATCTATTATACGGACAACCTTAGATTTGGATGCACTGATTCTGGCATGGCAATCATTGTTGTCATTAAGAGGGGTCCCTTGGACCTATGATAATCATTTTAAAAATGAATCACTTTAGAATGTTAGTTAATTTTCAAAGGAGTATATAACTGACAGAGTGGTCAGATTAAGGAGTGGTAACATCAGCCGGATGCCACGTTCTTTCGCATCCTATACTTTCTATCGAATATTTCAGTTATGAGTAGGGATGTCAACGAATATTCGAACATTCAAATATTCATTCGATGAGTTAATATTCGAATATGAATTTAAGATTCGAATATTCGGTGTTTTCAGATTTCACATAAAAAAGACACTAAATTTTGATTAGAACAGTGCTGGAGTTATCCCCGTTATACTTACTAGCGATCCCCTGATTTCTTTCACTACTTTCTTATCTTACAGATTTTCTAAATTATTTCATTTTGAGTAAGGTATAAAAGAAATAAACAAGAATCATTAATGTATAATACATAAAGTTCTTTCAATAGTTTAATATGATCTAGAATTGAGGACAACGAAATGAAACCCTTCTTGAATGTTAAAGAGACGTGAAGAGTGTACTTATGAAAATAAATTTTATTGATGCATTAAATTACCGACACATCTTTGACAGAATCAGCCTGTAATATTGTAAAGGGCTCAATTTCAGAATAATGCATCAATTACTTGTTTCTCTCGGGCTAAATATCAATTTTAAAATTTTAAAATCATTATCAGTAATGACCTAGGAAAATGTTTGTTTATATTGTCAAAACATTGTATCAAAGATTATATGAAATCTTTTATTAAGAAGACAATTGTAATAAATTACATGTACTGTATTTAAATCTGATGAGTAAACGACAATCTTGGTCCTGATTATAAGAATGGTTTGTCAGTTTGAGCTTGTATAGATATCATTTGTTAAAATTATATTTCGGTTGTATACACTTAAATCAATTATTTATTTTAAACATGGAAAATATCAAATGTAGAATTCTTTACTGTATACCTACAAAAGTCTACATCCAATGTTACTGCCAAATACTGACACAAAACTTGTCATGAGAGTATGCTGAGTGTAAACCAGATTTCTTTTTTTTATCGAATATTCGAATATATTCGAATACTTTCATTGAATATTCGAATATGAATTATTGACAAAATTGACATCCCTAGTTATAAGGACTGTCAATCGGTAGCCATTAGAATAAGGAAGGCTTCTTAGAATGGCATATATTTTTTCCCTATCTCACTAGCCAGTAAGCATCTTTGTTTTGTTCAATTTGTAATTATGTTTGCTTCTTGAAGTTTTCTTTTTTTTTATGTGACTTGGGGTTAGTTAAACATACAGTATTTTCAGAGGATGATGGGTGTTTGGCAATTTTCTTGATGGGGACAGTTTTGAGTCATGTGTGACGAGAACCAACATTATGGATGGCCATGCAGGTGCTAAAGGGTGGATTGTTTTGAAGGACAGACGTAGTACTAGTCCAAAATATCTGACGTTTTCCTGGCTTTTTTACGTGCCAGGAAAACGTCAGAACCGGTGCCATTACGAAAACGGGGAATTCGCACCTCCAACCAGAGGCGGCATTCTTGGTTTGATTTTCGATACTTGCAAAGCGAATGAAATGTCAAACTCACAATTTATCAATAGTACAATGCTTCTAGTACTCAACAACATCGTTTTTATGGTTTGTTTATAAAATATACAATCCGATGGAAACATTTTATGTGACTCTCGAGATTTGTTTTCATTTTGTGCATTTTAAAATTTTTCAAGTCCTGTATTGAAATGATGAGTGATGTTTTCTTTTCATCGATATTGTCCAGTACTAGAAGCATTGTGCTATTGTTAAATTGTGACAACGGCATTTAATTCGATTTCCAGGTATGGAAAATCAACTCCGATTGGAGACCGCGAATTTCCAGTTTTCGTAAAGGCGCCAGTTCTGATGTTTTCCTGGCACGTAAAATATCAAAATCGTGAAAAAGCCAGGAAAACGTCAGATATTTCAGATTAACATAGTACCAGAGCCGCCAACATCATAAGATGAAAAATCATACGAATACTTCCAGGGGCCATTTAGACCCCCAGATGCTGGATATTCTTCCATTTTATTCTTGTTAAAATGTTGGACATCATAAGTAAAGCATAGTAACGAAAAATGAAAATACAAGTAAGAGCTGTGAGTATTATGACTTTTTTTACTTTAAAAGTGAAAAATAAAGGCAGACAGAAAAGAAAATCGTAAGGATAAATACATAAATCGTAAGGCGTATTTTAGACGCTCAAACTGTAAGCCTTATGTCAAATAATTCTTCGGAATTGAACAAAACGATTTTTCTCTCCCAAACCTGTGCCCAAATTGATAATTGCTCAGCTAATTTTAATCAAAAGTTGAAAATGTCGACAATTAATCAAGATAGCTTAATCAATCATTTACTTACATCTCTACTTTTTAAATATGCATACCAAATGAACAGTGACTGAGTGAGAAATATACCTTAGGAAACAGAGAAAATTTGGACTATTCACATCATATGCAATATTGTTATATTGAAAAAAAAAAAAAAACTTACATAAATCCGACTTTATTGACGAATCGATTCAAAACATAATCTTTCTCTGCTCTTTTCCGCTTTGCAGCAGGTGATGCCATTTTACTCCGCTTTTGCCTTTTCAAGTTTTCTCTCTGTCCACTGTTGTCCTTCGGTTTTGAGCAGAGTAGTAAAAACTGTAACGGTCGGATTTAAAAATCCAGGAATAATATACTGATCAAATCTAGATATTTATCAGGCACGCAGTATCGTATTTGAAAGTCATTTTAGTGTGTTGGGGGATGCAAAAAAAAAACACCTAAAAAGGTTTGACAAGGGAAAAAATTTAAAGGAAAATTGTCCATACTCAAAATCCTATTTCAATGGGGTGGGGTTGGTATAACGTTAGGTTAAAAACTTCTTTCACAACCAAATTTGATTCATACATCATGTACATTACCTCAATTTGACTATACTGCAACAAAAAAATGGGGCAGTTTTTCAATGTACATATTCAACAGTAAAATGTTGCATAGCCGTAGGAACGGGGGGGGGGGGGGGGGGGGTTCCCCAATAAATTTGCCGAGGCCATCATTAAAAATATCTTTGTTTCCCCTAACCCGACCCTAAAATCTCAAGTTGGGTAGGTAGGTAGGTAAATTATTTTTTTTTTTCTGACAGCAGTTTTAAAAATACCTATCTTTATAAATAAAAAAAGAACAAAAGAAACGGATTTTTAAACCGAATATCATACAAATAAAGCAACTGTATGGTAAATTAATTCACAAATATTATTCATTTGAACTTCTGAAATAACTCAGACCAGCGTAAATTTACTGAAATCGAATATTTACAAAAAGACAAGAATCGCAAATACTCAACCATCAGACATCCGAGTATATTTTTCATACCTACTATCATCTTCGAGTACTTACACAGACAATATGTCAAGGGCCTCGTGTGGTGCAGTGATTCTAGTGCTTCGTTTTGGAGTCACGACGTAATGGATTCAGGAGCTTATTCTAAGTCACAGGTCCCGACAAGGGACGTACAGACTGGTCAGTCGAATGAGACCGTAAAAAACGCAGGTCCAGTGTCGCAGTATACATGTAGATGTTGGCACGAAAAAAAATCCCTTACTGATGCTTAACTAATGATCAATGGCTATAAGTGCCGAGTAAAAGTCTAAATTAGGTGCCCTCCACCGGCCCAACAATTTCTTAAAAATATTTTAAAGCAAAGAAACAACCTATTTTCAAGGGCCTAACTAAAGAAAAATACACTATACGTCTCAGGAAGCCGTACCATAAGCCATTTTTAAAGATTTCAATACTATTTGGAAAGAGTGCACATGTATAAAGAATATTTAATTCAACCAAACCATATCTAAAATGATCAAAGTTTCATATATCTCATGGTATAGTCACGAAGTTAATACCCCATAGATAAAAGGTAGGAAGAAAGGACATCTGAATTATATTTATCCAAAGACATATTTACAACTCCTATGGTCCTTTATAGTAAAAATAGGATCATACATGAACTGTTTATTTTTTAGATCGAAACAAATGAAATGCAGTGAAATTTATCGATATGTATACACAAGGTGGACCCCTCATCTGCTCATGGGGCAGGCTTTGCCATGCCTACTACTTACGTTTATCTTAGAAGACACATTTGTAAATACCATCTTAACACTCCTTCGTCATGGTACAGTTAATTCACGTAATGTCTCAAGAGTATAAGATTCTAATAAGTTAAAGATTATCAGATTATATAATAAGATTCATCATGTTCATACGTCACCATTGTTTTATAACACGAACTAACCCTCTGTGGCCACATGTTGTGGGCGCCAAATGAGAGTAAAACAAAAGCCGCCGTTCTGATAAAAAACAGATTTTGATGAAATTGTATTTTATAAAGTTTAAAAACAATAAAAAAAATATTTATATAATCTTATTAAAAAAACTTTTCAGTCGGCACGTTTAAAGTGGGTCGGTCGCGTTAGGGGAAACAAAGGTATTTTTTATTTTGGCCCGATCTAGATCACTATAGTAAACAGAGATACTTTATGCTTGTGCCCCCTCAATAAAAACGTCTAATGACCTTTTTTGCGTGTCAGGAAATTTTTGGTAGTGCCCCCTCAACTGTCAACTGAAAAATGTATGGTTGTGCTCCACCTCCCCCAACTGAAATTGCTTCCTACGGGCCTGTGTTGTGTTTGAAAAAAGTTGGGACCCCCCCCCCCCCCCCCGATACTACATGCCTGTTTATTTTTCCTAAAATTGTAATCTACGAAGCCTAAAATTAAGGATTAATCTATGGAGAATTTTTTTAAAGGCGTTATAACACCTTTTCAAAAAGTATTATTACACCTTTAGAAAAGATGTTATTACTTATTATGCCTTTTCAAAAGGCGTTAATTAGGCGTACTGTACGCCTTTACAAAAGGCATTAATTATTATGCCTTTTGAATAGCCGTTATTATGCCTTTTGACTGGCCCTTGTTGTTGAACGGGAGGCAGCATCCCCCCCCCCCAAAAAAAAATGACAAGCCAAAAAAAAAAAATAAAAAATAAAAATAAAAAATTACAAAAAACAAAACTACGAAAGCCCATTAAGCTAACTTTCCTAGGTAAAAAAATAAATCTTTCGCGTTATAACGCAAAACTTTGGCAAATAAACGTGAAACTTTTGTTAAAAAAAAAAAATTGCTTGATAAACGAAACTTTCGCGTTATAACACGACACTTTCGCGTTATAACGCAAAATTATAATTTATTATGAATTTAACTTCCTTATAAACAGATAAACCTCTCTTACTCTTTTAGATAGCATCTGTTTTCTTGTACACACCCATTAAGAAAAAGTGTTTAAAAAAAAAAAACAACAACAACAACAAAAACAATAAGTGTAACTCAATAATTCTGTAATGTATAACACAAACATAATTTGACCAGAGATTAATGTCTCTGATTTGACTAACTGAGGGTTACAATATGACCACTTGGAAAAACTTTCACTTCCATGACCAATTTGATCATTTAGGAGGGCTGGGTTATCAGGGACATTTTAGGCTATTTAAGTTTCCTGGGAAAAAAAGCAATAAAACTATCTCAAAATGCATTAAATTTAACAATAAAGTGCAACGCCACATTGTATGATACGTCCATATCACAGGTTCTTGATTAAACTTGAATCTACACTACCTGAGGATACTTCTGAATTAATACGACTGGTCATGGCTTTGCTGTTCTTGAGAAGATTTTTCCTATATATTCCTTCGAATAAATTGATCGCCCATTGTGGTCCCACCTTATAATCCCGGAGTCGTAATTTGAACAAACTTGAATTAACACTACCTGAAGATGCTTCTGTATTAAGAATATTTTTAAAGATATTTCCTATATATTCCTGTATAAAACGTTGATCCTCTCTTGTGATCGACCTCACCCTACCCCCAAGGGTCATGATTTAAACAAATATGAACCGACAGTATGTGAGGATGTTTCTGTATTTTAAAATGTGTCTAATAATTTTGGCTTTGCTGTTGAATCTACACTACCTTACAATGCTTCCACGTATAACTAACCTTGGTTTTGCTGTTCTTAAGAGAAAATTTTTCCCCATGTTTTCCTGTGTAAAAATTTGACTGCTCACTGTGGTCCCACCCTACCCCTGGGGGTCATGATTTGAACAAATTTGAATCTACACTACCTGAGGATGCTTCCTTATAAATATGTCCTTTGCTAAACTACAGGATTGTCCCTAAGACCCGGGGAATTTCCCTGCCTATAATGACACAATTCCCCGGTTATTCTGGTATTCCCCCTCAACCCCCTGTTAGGGGAGGAACCCGACCCCTTCTACTCTTTTAATGTCCCCTGTTATTTTAATTTTTAGGGACAACCCTGAACTATATATTCCTAATTAAAACTTTGCTCACACATTATGGCCCTTCCCTAAATCTGGGGGTCATGATTTGAAAAAAAAATGAATCTACACTATCTGAAATTGCTTCCATATAAATATGACCAATCATGGCTCTGCTGTTCTTGAGATTTTTAACAAAAAGGATGCTTCCATATACATGTAACTTTAACTAATCATGGTTTTGCTGTTCTTGAGATTTTTAGATTTTTTCCTATGTATTCCTAGATAACAGTTTGACTGGCCTTTGTGGTCCCACCCTACCCCTGGGTGTCATGATTTAAACAAATTTGAATCTACACTACCTGAGGATCGATGATTCCACACAATTTTCTGGCCCAGTGGTTCTTGAGAAGAAGATTTTTAAATGATGCAATTAATTTTTCACTAATTCACAATCATCTCCCATTGGAAGGAGGCGTGGCCCTTCATTTGAATTCTCTTTACCTAAGAATACTTTTATGGCAAGTTTGGTTGAAGTAGTTCTAAAAAAGAAGTTGAAAATGTGAAGAGTTTACAAATCATTGGTCAGACTGATGGGAAGCTTAAGGGACAGACAGATGGATGCCAGACAAAATGTGATCAGAAAAGCTCACTTGAACCTTCGGCTCAGGTGAGCTAAAAAACAACAACAACATAACCCACTCATTCTTGGTAATTTATTTTGATCTTAGTTTCAAAAAAGAAGATCATATCATTTCATCTTAGCCCATGAACACTTGTGTTGGAAGGGAAATTTGCCCAAAAGAGTAAAACGCAATTTCTCCTTCATCTGCAACTGCCCAATGAAGAGGAACCTCATCATCAAAATAACCATAGAAAGACATCAAAGTTGACAAGGATGGAGGGTCTTCTTCACTTCTGAAAGAGATTGTTTACATTGTTTTTCACACCAGCACTATTGCGGACATATTTTAAAAAATCTTAAATTTGAGAGCATGTGCGTTTATGCTTCACTGCCCTAACAAAAAAATTCTCATACATTTCAAAAATTATATGTATTATATTAAAATTTCTCTTACTACTGAAATTTGTTCATGCAGAAAGAACTACAGTAAAATCATATATTTTCCTGAGGTCAACTTTTGTGGTTTGAAAAAAAACTATGGGTTTATGTGAATTTGATTTTGTAGATGAAGAATTGTTGATTAGTTATGTATATGACTTTTTATATGAATTTGTGGACATGAATTTGTGGATGTCTTTACACCTCAAAAACAACAAAAATTAACCCTCATGAAAATTAGTGATTTCACAGTATATTTCAATTCTTTTAAACAAATATATTTTTAGCAACTGCATCATTCATTTCCTATACAATACTTTTATATGCAATCAAACCCTTTGTAGCTTATAAATTTTACATTTTTATTTCGAGTGAATAGAAAAAGTACTAAATTTGATAGAAAAAAAGCATACAGAAATGCAAAAGGTGAGATTTACCCTACAACACAGATTCTGTGATCAGGGATTCCAGGGTTGGACTTCCTAAACTTTGCATCAGGCTTGTACACATCATATGATACTCTGGGCAAATCCTGGTTTGCCTCAGTGCTTCAAATCAAATTTAAACCATATTTTAATTATCAAAACACATCAGTAAAATATTATATTGACAATTTCTATCAACAATCAATCATTGCTTTGGTAATGATACGGTAATTGGATTTAAACAAATTTTGACTCACTTCCTTGTAGAAACTGAGTTTCCATCCCATGTTTGAATCACTTTGAGCTTTTCCAACACTGCAACTGCAGATTAAAAAAAAAAAACACATGTAAATCTCCAATAATTATATCTTTATCCAAAAATTATTTAAAAATAACATTGATATTATAATATAAAAACCTTTATATATTTTTTCCTAATCACATGAATAATTGACTTACTTGTGTTCTGAGCATCTTCTGGTCTTACAAGGGGGGTTACTTCATCCTTCCAGAGATGTTCCACTGGAGAAATGAAGTTCTCTCCCTTCATCGATTCCAGCATTTTCTCCTTGTACTCTCTCCAGTTAGATGCAGATACTTTCTTGACAGGTTGAACCACATCACATGAAAAATTCAAGTCAAAATAATCTAATTCCTGTCCAAATTTTCCCTTAGAATTTAGAAATTTCTGTGATTGTTTTTTCTGCTTTACAAATTGTTCTGCATTAACCTTAAGCCTAGACAATGGAGGAATTCCTTCAGGCAGAAATCTCTGTGGAATATCCTTGAGCTGAAGATTAGCAAAATTGTCAATATCACTAATATCAGGGAACTTTATTTCCTCAAAATTCCACACACTGTATCTGGTTGCTTTACATTCTTCATCTTTTCCCCCAGTATTGACATCTTTCCTATTGTAGCCAAGGCTTTCCTCAAAATTGTGTTGAACTTGACCTACCCCAGTTGTTTCAAAGTTAATTTTATCGTTTTCTTTGACTGATACTGTCAAATCATCATGTCTACCCTTTGTATCTATGTGTTTGTTCTCCAGATTATTTGACTTTGAATCAGACATATGGTCCTCCATGTGCACACAAGTACTAGGAATTTCCAACGTTTGCACCTTTGAATTTTCAGAAAATTCCTCATTATCAGAGACTCTGACTTTTTTCTGTGGTGTATCTGCTGACTCTTCATCTTTCACTGATGTGACCTGAGCGTTCCTTCTTTTTTTAAGGTTAATGTGCTTGTCCAGCTTAATCTTCCTTTCATACTTTGTACTCAACAACCTTAAAATATAAGGAAAATGAGCTACAGGGAAAAATAACATTAATGTATTCAGTGAAGAAATATATACATGAACCTGAACAACAGGAAAATAAAAGGACTTAATTCTTTCAAACATAAAATCCTTAAATAAATACAGTGTACATGTATTTTTTACATTTCATACTGTGGAAACTGGATTTACTCCTAATTCCGTTTCCAAGCACATGGAAAGGCTTGTGTAAATACCTTTTTGGACTGAAATTTGTTATCAGTCTTCACAAGACATTCACTGGGAGATTTGTTATGCATTGCAGTGTTTCGTACCATATTTATGATTGAATAAAAAATAACTATGTGCTGTAACACTACTTACCTCCCCTGGTGACGAAGCACCACATATCCAATCCGTCTAAGATGAGCATAGACTAAGTATTCCTCAAATTTGAAATTTTTCAGAAATTCTGTGTATGCTTGTTGAATGCTAACAGGTAATCCTTTATACCAGACTTCTAAAGTATTCTTTAAATTTGAAAATAATCATTAATTTAATATGTCCTCCCAAATTATTCCTCAAAAAGTCAAACAACACAAAATTTTATACATCGACAAGCTGGGAATGAGTTTTTCATCTACATGTCTCAATATAATCTAAGGAATTCCTAAAGACACAAATGTGTTATTAAAGAAAATGCTGTTTACTTGAATTCACCCCGTTTTAAATTTGTCCATTTTCGACAAGGGCAAAAATAAAATGGGGGTTGGGTTGGATTTCACGGTGTACAGAATTCAAATGACAAATTAATGCAGTTCATTTTAAAACTTGTCAAATATATTCTGGAACATAGATTTTACAATGTAAACAGAGATACATTTTTAATTAAATACATTTAGATATATTAATGAATATTAATATCCCCTCAAATTCCTGTTAGGTAAGTTTCCCTTTATTAATACACACCGTTTCCATCAAAAACAAGGCCTCCTCTGGGTACAGCCATTTCCTGCTTTTGTCTGAGAATCCCATACAGGACCAAAATTTACCCTTCAAAAGATCAGTTTTAACTTTATGGTACATGAAATAGTGAACAAGAACAAAAAAAGAAACTATTTAATAGATTAAATTAAGTAATCTCTACTTTCAGTGACCATGGCAACACTTTTTATCAAAATATTAAAGAAAAAGAAATATGTATCTTGGTGAAGTTTACTAACGATATGCACCAAGGTTCACTGAAATCAGACTAAAAATGAAGGAATTGTATTATTTTGAATTTCATAGGAATTTATATTTTCAGTATTAACCATAGCATTGCTACTCATTGAAATAAAACCAATAAAGAGAATTATAGATGTATGTACCTTGTTGTAGTAGACTTCAGTGCAAAGTTTTATTGAAATTGGACCAAACTGTAGTGACATATTTATGTCTGTAGCTATTAACCATTTCTATATTTGTAGCTATTTACCATTTCCTCCTTAGGCTGATGTAATATACACTGTTATGTATTTGTGACCATTTACCATTGTCTCAAAATGTAATAATATATTTGTAGCAATCTACCATTTACCCCTAATGTAATATATTTGTAACTAACATTTCCTCCTAATGTAATATATTTGTAGCTATTTACCATTTCCTCCTAATGTAATATATTTGTTGCTATTTACCATTTCCTCCTAATATAATATATTTGTAGCTTTTTACCATTTTCTCCTAATGTAAAATATTTGTAGCTCTATTTACCATTTCCTCATAATGTAATATATTTGTTGCTATTTACCATTTCCTCATAATGTAATATATTTGTTGCTATTTACCATTTCCTCCTAATGTAATATATTTGTTGCTATTTACCATTTCCTTATGTAGTTCCACAAGCTGCAATTGTGGATTCCATTCCCCAGTGACAAGACTCCCACTACAAAATAATTGTATACACTGATATTAAAGTTAAAACTGATTTTTTTTTTCCTCCTATGTATTGACCACTTTTAGAGGCATTGTGTTTGAAAATTTAACTCTAACTTTTCCTTGAACAGCTAGAAGATTTTGATATTCATAATATATAATTATATGTATTTCATAACAGTACATGTACAAGTGAAGAAACTGTTAATCTGTAGGTCATTATTATTAGTTGTACATTGTATCACTTTGATCTGAGATGAATTTAATGAATTTAATTGGTAAATATTTTTGTTTGCTTAGATAGGAAGCGCATGTGCTCCAGGACAGAATTGGACATTGTAAATATTGTTAATTAAAATCCTTGATTGAGAAGTTTTAATAATTATTTGATTTATTCCTTTAATTGCTCAGGCAGAGCAACCGAATCCCCGAACCCAGAAACGCTACAATAGGAGGTACCTTGCAGAAGCAATTTTAATAAAAAAGTTACCACATTTTTCTCAAATATTTTGAATGGTACAATCATTATTTCAGCTAGGTAAAAGTACCTGAGAAATACAAGACAAATTACAAAGACACGATATGCTTTTAACCCTCCACCTTAAATCTACTGCATGGGCATAATAAAACAATTATAGTTTAATTAGTTTGATCAGTAAGAATGTGCTCTTGCATAATGTGTCAATCTGAATATTACTTATACTGAAAATGTTAATTAAGGAAAAAAATTAAATCAATATATGATATACAGAGGATATTCAATGTTTTGTTGTTGGATATGGAATTTATTTGATCACCATGCAATGGGACATGATTTTTTCCCCATATTTTCACAAGTGAAAATATTAATAAAAAAATCCTGGATCACAAGTGAAATGAATTTCATATTCAACTACAAAACATTGAATTTTTTATTAATAACATTCTGAATTCTTTGATTTTCTCTTTGCCTCTTTCTTTTTGTAGCAGACTAGGAAAGGAAAATCTCGAGTTTTGCTACAATTTTGATATTTTTCACAGAGTGAAAAAATATCCCATTGTTTCAAGAATAACAGTATCTAAGAGTTGAAAATATAATATAATGTATTGATTAATGACCTATCCTCTGTCCAATTTTTTTTTTAATTCAAGATCATGTGACTGTATACTAACACTCTTTCTACTCTAGGTTCTGCTAATACAGCTCTTCTTTCTTCATAAAACTTCTCCAGTCTTTTGGCCTGGAGCCAGGAATCATCAGGTGAGAAATCCTTGTCCCCTCCCCGCTGGGGTACAGTCTTGTCTGTCGGCTTCCTGTGCTTGAAAAGTTCTTCATCACTGGACAAATTCACAAATACATGATTACATCCAATATGAATATCACATGAAGCTTGAAGCATAATATAAATGTTAAGACAAAGAAATGCAAAATCAAAATATTCTATTAAGTAAATGTATGATCACTGAGAGATGAAAACCTTTAAGGAAATGTGAGCATATTACCATAGGACTTTATCATAACACAAAATAGGTCCAGTATTTTGCTCTTGCTTGTTTTCCCGGGATTCCATCTTTCATACATCCACGGTTTCTTAATATCACATAAACGCTTAAAAGAAGGACATTTTTACATCAAAATCACAAGAAGAAAGTTAACCTATATGATCTCCTCAATGCGCATGCGCAATTTGCAAACATTTTTCAATGGAGGAATGTCAATGTAAACTATTCCAAACAGCAACAAGTTGAAGTCATAAAAACACAAATCTAAGAGACGGAAGTAATAGCAATAATGGATAGTAAGTGATTTCTAAAGAGAGTTATTCAAATAGGGAAAAAATAATCAAAAGAGCTACATGTATATCACATACAATAGATAAACACAATGCTTTAGTAATATTGGCGAGAAATTGAACTTGGTTTTTTAAGGTGAAATACCTTTACTTAAGGGCGCAACCATTCAAATTATATAAAAGATTTGTTACAAATAGGATGCACTAGGTATTGTTTCTGAACCTGAGTGGGTACCGTATTTTCAATTTCAATTTCAATTCAATTTATTGATTCACCAAACATGTTGGCATACAACCATGTTACAACCAAAATGAAAAATACATTGTGTTTTCAGATTACTAAAACATATACTAAAGTACATACATACATGCAAGCGTACAAATCAGTGAAGTCAACTACATTTACAACTTGAAGTTATACATAATCATTATGCAAATAGTATAAACAGTATAATATGGACAGAGATAAACTAATTATTGCATTAAATATATATTATTGTGCTCTATTTTTAGAACGCAATTCAAAACATTCATGTAAAAATTCGCATAGCCTTCTAGAATGAACTGCATTGTCAGGATTAGTATTCATGTAGGCGTGAACATCAAAGTGAGGATAATCGAAGGATCACAGGTGCCTGTGGACAGGACACTGTGGACACCTCCCTTCCCCCAAATATACACCCCAGATACAAGAATATTTTTAGTTGTCTTGTTTCATATATTATCCTTCTAACACACATTTACAAGGAATTCCATATTGAAAATCCAAAAAATTACGTAGAATAAACATTTTATTACAAAGGTCATACTCACGGTATTATAAAAAAGAGAAGGCAAGTCACCTCTGTTTGTTACATTCAATCCGTATAGGGTATCAGGCTTAAAATATCATTTACCTACTGCATGTCACTAAAACGTGTTGTTCCTGTACACAGGCACCTGTGTGCATGAGAACCAAAATGTGACACTTAACAAAGAATTATATATAGCACTCTAAATTATTTTATACCAATAGTTGAAAGATGACGCAGAAAAGTGATAAAAGTATCATAAAATAATTCCAGGATGGACATTAATCTTGTTTTGGCTTGTAATTTCCTATTGCAATCAGTGTGTTATCTGTAAATTATATTACAATAAACTTGAATTAATATGCCCCTATTTATGTACTATAATTCATAAACATTTATATTTATATTTTATCATTTACATATTTTATGAAACTTACTTCAAGGTTTTTGACAGTAAAAATATGATTGATCTATTCTCTAATATTATGCTTCCTGTAAATTACTCTCTGTATAGTCGATAGACAATACCCAACTATTTTCATGTAGAGTTCAAATAATACAACGAAAAAATCAAACATGTTTTCTGGGAGAAAATAATAAGCAGCAACTTCCAAGAATATGTTAGAACAAGGCTTTAATACTTATATGGAATGCTTTAAATTTACAAATGGCATTTTCCAGATGATTACTTTAGTTTTCTTTAAGCTTTCTTCAATAAAATCTAATATCACAACTCCGTATAATGTAAAGAAGACCCCTATTGATTTTGAAGTCAAAAGATCAGAGGTCAAGGTCATAAATTCATACATCCTGTTTGTGTGTAACACTTTTCTTTCTGGAGGATATCTTAAAAAGTTTGAGCTTTTGCAAAGAAATTGTATATCACAACTCCTTATGGCCTAAAGAAGACCCCTTTTGATTTTGAGGTCAAAAGGTTAAAGGTCATAAATTCATACATTGCAGGGTTCTCATTAACGCAAGAATCTGCGTCCTAGACGCAGCAAAATTACTTGGGACGCAAGGTTCTTAAAATCGATGCGTCCGCGGACTCATGATCGGACGCGTCCTTGTTAGCGAGAAAATTCGGGTAATTTCAAAAACGGGGAATTTAGATGTTAGGATTTGTCAAAGAAATATTTAATCGAAACCTTCCTGTAACTATCATAAAGTTCATCCAAGAAATAACTTTTCTTGTACTTATTTCTCTTTTTTTTTTTAAACAGGGATTGATCATAATTAAGATACTTCATGTTTATTAGTCCATAGTCATAATAATGTTGCATGTCGCTGTAAACACACTGCAGCTTCTTTTTTTTTTTTTTTTTTTTAAGGTAGTATGGGATACCTCCACGTTATGACGTATTTCCGTTCGAAGTATTGTTTTGATTTGCATGAGTGCTTATTATCGGGTCAAAATTTGTAGATACACCTTTGAAAAGAACAATCTGAAGCCTATTTCAATGCAAGTTCTCACAAGTCGGCATTTTAAGTAAAAACAGACAAAAAAATCGCAAGTATATAAATTTACTTATAATTGTACAACGGACATTTAAAAAAGCAAACCCCTGTAAAAGGTAGTTTCAACATTGCTGCTTTTGAACACTTTTAAGCAAAAGCTGTATTTCAATTGTTTGAGTAGCTGTACAGCACCTTGTGTGCGGTGAGGCATGGATAAGTGCGATTACTTCACATTGTGCTGAATTATCACCAATCAATTATCACGTTAACCAGAGCTGGACTTTTTTGTTATTTAATTCAAGAAGTAACTGTTTGGTCACAAATCAGCTAGCTATTGTATATAGTCCCAAAACGTTCAGATGAATGCAATTGCTCTGAACAAGACACCTCCTGGAAAGCGATTGTCCATGCATTGTTTTCAAAACCGCTCAAAGTTGAAAACTACAAAGTGCGATTTCTTTATGGTTGGGAAAAAATGCTCATCATTTCTAGAATAGCACCCAGGTTTTTTCAACCCTTGGAAAATAAAGAAGGATAACTCTTCCGCTCGGATCTTTTAATTCAAAAAATTTTAAATGCATTTTATATTTTCCATTTATATATATATTTTCAATTTCTTTATTTCACTTTGCTAACATATTAAGATACATTCTTATTGTAGACTTTCATGAAATGTTATCCGTCTGTTTTCAAGAAATAAAGTTTTCCCAGTTTTTTACGCTTATTTTTTGTTGAAAATTAAAAAAATACTAAGACATATTTCTTGTCATTTTTGTTTTTATAAACATTTTATATCAGCAAACGCCTGCCTATAATATTAAGCTTATGAAAAAAGAATTATGCAAGAAAAAAAATCGTTTTTGTATTTCTCATTAAAATAATAAAAAATTATTAAAATTACACTTTAATATACTGAAAGGTGGGGGTATTTCAAATCCTTCTAATTTGGGTACATAAATATGTAGGAGAAGTTTCGTTTGGTATCCCATACCACCTTAAAAAAAAACACTTTTGAATCTTGAGTGTCTACATGTAGAAACCATAATTACTGCTTGTATACACAATGCGGCTTGATTATCTTGTGAATTTCACCCAGTGCAGACTACCGACAGGATTAGTTACGCCTCATTGCACATGACACCTGTGATTGTATACAGTCAACTTTCGGGTACTAGTTGATTATGCAACAGTTAATTTTAGCTTTATAAACACCAAGTTAATTTTTATGGCAAGTGATTACGTGTGTATTTTAGAATGTGGCTTGAATGCATTACCAGTTTACATGGTTTATATACTTGAATATGTTAATATTGCGTAAACAAACTGATAAAATGATAAAGATTTTTATTGATGTTTGGATGGAAGGATACTGCAATAAGAACTGCGAACGATAGTATTGTTCTCCCGCCTACCTCCAAGTCAATTTTCAAAAGTTAAGATATTCGAATGATTTTTAATATTTATATTGACATTTATATGGATTTTCTTAAAACATTACTTCTTTGGGAAAACAACGAGAGATAACTCTAAAATTTTGGTAAAACTCGTGTTTTTCACTATAAAAATCAACGGAAAACGGAAAATATTTTTAAAACATCTTTCCCCCCCGTGAAACAAAAATTCCATTTTACGGGTAATATGGACTGTCATTTCACAAATTCATACCAAAGCTTTTTGTGTTTCACGGGGGGGAACATGTTTATATACATAAAACGACAAAAATGCTTATTTTTTCAGCAATTTCCAAGTGCTTTACAACTGAAACATTATATTTTACTAATATATATGCTTAATTTTATATGCATAAAACATAAGAAAAGATTTAAGAAACATTTATTCATATTCAAGACTGTTTCAGAATATGGTGATGCTTTATAGCCCGATTTCAGTGGAAAATATCGTCTACCCCCCTTATTTCAAGAGCTGGAATTAGGGATATTTTACTATTTAGCACTGGGACTAAAATAATTAATCAATTGCCATTGAACTGTTCTTTGTATTAAACAAAGATTTTATGGCCAAATTGTCATCAATATTGAATTAAATGGTTGTAAAATGTAGGCGGGAATCGGGAGTTACCGTGCATAGTTCTTTAGTTGGGACTCAACATAATTATTCTGGGACGCATCAAATTTAGCTGGGACGCAACCTTCTCAGAAATCTTGAGTCCTGGGACTCAAGTTGGCAAAATCCTAGTGAGAACCCTGCATTGCAAATAGCATTTTTCCAGATGATATCTTAAGTTTCTTTGATAAAATTTAGCATCACAACTTCCTGAGGCCTAAAGAAGAACCTTATCGGTTTTTGAGGTCAAAAGGTCAGAGGTCATAAAATCATACATTATGTCTATGTAATACTTCTCATCCAAACTATATCTTTAAAAAGCCTTTGAGATTTTGCAATGAAATTTATATCATAACTCCCTATGACCTTAAAAAAACATTGATTTTGAGGTCAAAAGGTCAAGGTCAGAAATATATATTGCATATATAGTTTTCAGATAATAATTTTAGTTTTTTTCTGTAAGCTTTTGCAATGAAAGTTTTGGTCATGAATTTCTTTAACTTTAAAAAGACTCCTATTGACTTTAAGGCCAAAAGCTGAAAGGTCAAGGTTGACCTTTTCTTTCTTCATCTGCAAAACTTTTTCTAGTTCTTCCAGACTTCCACCTTCTTCTTTTTCTTAAGCGGGGGACACAAATTCTCTGAATTAGCTTGTTGATAATCATTTTTGTCAAAGAATATGATTTTTAAATGAAATCTAGACATTCATTTGGGAAGGGGAAAAAGCATAAGTCATTGTTAAAATCAACAGGTTTCTATTGATTTTTATAGGATCAGGATATTCCAAAAAAAAGGTTCCTTCTGAAGAGCAAAAAAGAAATCTACAGGTAAGTGTGATTAGAAATTAGATCATTTGTTTAGAAAAATACAATCTAAATGTTCATTTTTATTGATTGTTGATAAATACCATGCTATAGAATGATTAAAATGACTTTTTTGATAAAATGAAATGTACTGAAGTGTTTTGTTACAGATAAAGTTTCTGAGAAGTTCTCTAGGGCTGGGACGATATATCGAGATATCGATAATATCTATTCAATGTGAGGATGATACGCATATTGATACGTATGAAGAAATATCGAAATATCGCAAAAAAAATTTCTTACTTATGTTTTTCTTTGTTTACTTAACATTTTGGGTTAAATATATAAAATAAATATGCTAAATATAAATATGAAATACATAATAATTAATACCACTTAAGTAAAATGGCTGTTTTGTAACAGCTTTACAACTTCTTTGAATGATTTTTTCTTATTTTGTGAAGAAATGTTTCGTTCATTTCAATACAAAAAACACATTTGATAACCAATTCAACGTATCGTGATACATATCGTATCGTGGCTCAAATATTGTGATACTTATCGATATAGAAAAAGTTGTATCGTCCCAGCCCTAAAGTTCTCACTGATAAACTATAAACAATAATTGTAAATGAACAGTATGTTTCTTGAACGATTATGCACAGAATTGATATAATTTATAATAATATATTCCTTTAAATTAATGTATGTTTTAAAGCATTTTTCCTGGATAAAAAAAATTGTGTCATGATTATTTTCTTTTCAACTTTGTAAACAGAAAGCAGCCATGCAAGAAGTGTTACCTGGATATGAGGATTACTTAGTGCTGCTACAGGAGAGAAACAGGTAAGAAGTGTTACCTGGATATGACGATTACTTAGTACTGTCACAGGATAGAAACAGGTAAGAAGTGTTACCTGGATATGAGGATTACTTAGTACTGTTACAGGAGAGAAACAGGTAAGAAGTGTTACCTGGATATGAGGATTACTTAGTACTATTACATGAGAGAAACAGGTAAGAAGTGATACCTGGATATGAGGATTACTTAGTGCTGTTACAGGAGAGAAACAGGTAAGAAGTGTTACCTGGATATGAGGGTTATTTGGAACTATTACATGAGAGAAACAGGTAAGAAGTGTTACCTGGATATGAGGATTACTTAGTACTGTTACAGGAGAGAAACAGGTAAGAAGTGTTACCTGGATATGAGGGTTATTTGGAACTATTACATGAGAGAAACAGGTAAGAAGTGATACCTGGATATGAGGATTACTTAGTACTGTTACAGGAGAGAAACAGGTAAGAAGTGTTACCTGGATATGAGGATTACTTAGTACTGTTACAGGAGAGAAACAGGTAAGAAGTGATACCTGGATATGAGGATTACTTAGTACTGTTACATGAGAGAAACAGGTAAGAAGTGTTACCTGGATATGAGGATTACTTAGTACTGTTACAGGAGAGAAACAGGTAAGAAGTGTTACCTGGATATGAGGATTACTTAGTACTGTTACAGGAGAGAAACAGGTAAGAAGTGTTACCTGGATATGAGGGTTATTTGGAACTATTACATGAGAGAAACAGGTAAGAAGTGATACCTGGATATGAGGATTACACAGTACTGCTACAGGAGAGAAACAGGTAAGAAGTGTTACCTGGATATGAGGATTACTTAGTGCTGTTACAGGAGAGAAACAGGTAAGAAGTGTTACCTGGATATGAGGGTTACTGGGTTCTCTCACAGAAGAAAAAAAGTTAAGAAGTGTAGACCAGATATGAGGAATATCCAGTTCTGTTACAGGAAAATTGCCTATAAAAGTTACCTAGGTTATCTAGGTCTGCTACTGGTAAAATATCATATTAACTGAGGTAAGAAGTGCTACAAGGATAAGGGTTATCTAGTTTTGGTTCAGGAAAAAAAATCATGTTACCTTTATTTAACTCTTAGTAATTTCTAAATTTAATGAAAGGTCTATAATAGTTGTACACAAATATTTGAAAGGAATATTTTTCTTAGTGGTAGAAGTATTTTGCTTCTCACAGCATTTCATTTTTTTTTTCAGCAGATTGAAATAAAATTTTCAAAGCATACTGAACACTTTATAACTAAAATACATATTTTAGATTGCTGAAGAAAATGAGGAAGAAAAGTAAGAAACAAATTGACAACGAAAGAAAAGAACAAGGTTTCTCTATATATGTAAGTGGTGCCAATGCCGGAAAACAGAAGCAGAGAGTTTCCTCTCATCAAGAGGAAAGAACTGACTCACCTGAGCCGATTACAGAAAGGCAGAGACTAAAGACTGCTGGTGGTAAACAAAAATCACTTATAAATATACTGCTTGTCATTGTTACAAGGCTTGCTTATAGGGCTCAAAAAGTTTATCAATGATTAGCTCATAATTCTATTTGTGAGTTTTGGCATAGATACTAAAATAAAGCATATGTGAAATCTTTCAAAATGCTACTCCTTCAATAGACAATTTTGAATTGATCTCAACAAAACTTGGTAAATGTCTAGAAAACATCAGAATACACATTAAATTCAGTAAATGTAAAAAAAAAGTTCTCAAGTCCAGTGTTACTTTTCTTCTCTTTTATTATAAGCACAAACCAGTAGAGTTACAGTTAATTCAGACCATAAAATTAGGTGAACAGGGGACTACAAATGTTATTTATAATAGAAAAGAAGAGCTAACTGTCCACAAATTTATATATCAACAAAATTGTATTTTTGCCAAATCACAAATTTTTCTCAAGTAAAAATTAATGAAACCCGAGTAAATATAAACATGATTGTTAAAAAGGATTGTTTTGGAGTGATTATTACTTTGGGTTGTAGATGTGTCCCAGAAAAGGGTCATTAGTCATAGAGATCTGGAAGTCATAGCTGCAGAGGAGAAACGAAAGATCGAGGAGAAAAAACGTGTAAAAACTGCCCCTGCTCGAGAACGTCGGAGGAACTGGTTGGCAGGATCAGTCAACATTAAAACAGAGCGTGGTGAAAAATGTCACTTAAAAGCCCCAGGTAAATGACAGAGAAAAAAATGCCATAAGGCCAAAGTTTTTATTTTTTTTGGTTTACAATTTTCTGTCTCAAAAAAATGCATTGGGTGGTCGAAAAATAAAAATAAAAATAATTTAGGATTCAACAATTTCCTTTTAAAATACCAGCAATGTTTATTTTAATAAAAATAATACACGTCAATAGTACTTTTAAGTTTTATTGTCTAGATCACATAACTCTTTTTACGTAATTTTAATTCATTTCTAACTTTAGACTGAATGTCATTTTCATTTACATATAGTTCTGATTTTTGTTTGTCAATCAGTGCTTGGTTCATGATGTTCAACTTCTTTTTGTGCTCTTCAGTGATATGTGATGTGTTATAAACCTTGGTATCCCCATAAACTAAAAATAAGGTTCCAAATTTAAGTTAAATTTAGATTGAAGAAAAATACAATTTAATTGTTTAACAATATTAAAAGTAATTGACGTTGAAATAAAGGTTATAATAATTTAATCATGCAGCTATCAAATTTAATGTTCATCATACTAGATCTAATAAAAGTAAAATGGACTTCATTGAGTATAAAGTATTTATACAACTTAGGGTAGTACATGTACACGTGTGTATGAGATTTCAATTTAGATCATTATGGTATCTCTTTCTGGAGATTATAAACCTCCTGCAAAAAATTATGACGAAGTACACTTTTCTAAAAGTCCTCTTTCGATATGTATTAATGCATTGAAAATATATTTTTCTATCAAAAATAATGCCTAAAGTCCTTACCATTCACTCGCAGGTCAATTGAGTAGGTGGAAATAACTTGATAAATCTATATAATTACACAATATCATCATTTTTAGAAAAACGGAGGAAATTCGGATTAAAAGTTGGCGATGTTTTTTACAGTGTTTTTAAACATGTGTTATGACTGTAGCTTTGCTAATGAGTTAAATAGATGAAAATTACAGACAATCTGACAATTTTACTTTTTGTTTTTCCAAGATAATTAAAAATAAAAGCATTGTTCATCAATTGGGAAAAATACTGCCAAATTGTCAAAAAATAAACTCATTTTCAATTGGGAATGGGGCCGAATTTTGGCTCATGAGAAGGCACTGATAAATCCCTGTTATCTATAGGTGTATCCGTGTCTGTTAAGTCGATCAGGGTTGGGCATACATTCTCCAATATTACGGTATGAATTTAGCCAATTGAGACATTGCAATTGGAGAAAGGGATCATGCATCCAAGATTTTATTCCCTTTTCTATGCAGAAAAAGTTCTTTAAGTGTGTGTCATTGCTTTCAGTGAGGAATTACCTTGTTACATGACAGAACCGCCATTTTTGGTTTGGTTTTGCACGTGTTTATTTACGGTCACCTAAATGTTTGTAAAGGTGTCATATATTTATAAATATTTATAAGCGCTTATTTGACTAAGATGCATTCTAAAATTTAAAACCCACCAATTCAGCTGAGAAAAATCAGGAAAAATATGTCGGAGAAAGACATTATTTTTATTTTCATGATTGGTGAAAATTAGTGTCGGCGGAATCGTAAACCAAAAGAAAAAAAAACTTTGGCCTAATTAATAATTTTTTAAGCTGGTGTATTTCCCTACTATAAATATGTACATTATCTTAATTTTATAGCGTTATGGGAGGCATTGTGAGATTTTTAACAAGCTTTCCTTCAGATACATCATGATCATTGTTTTCTGATGTCGGTAATATTTTCTGTACAGAGATAGTGACCGGAAACTACGAGGATGATTTTGAGGACAGTGAGGATGAGGAGGGTGACAAAAAACACAAAAAGGTTTACCCTACTACTGCCTTAGTCTTTCTGGATTTTTTAAATTCTGCATATTTACTGGATTTTTTTTTTTTTAAATTTGGTCTAAAATATTTTAATAAATTTGATTATTATTAATTAGATTTATGTAATAGATGTAATGAACAATGTAAGAAACCTGTATTTCATGAAAAGAAACTTTCTCTTACCGGTATGTTTATGATTCAATATTGCAGTAAAGAATATAAATTTCAGTTTAATTCTGCTGGTGAAGATGACGATTCTGATAGTGAGATAGAAATCGATGCTTCCAAATTCACTAAATCACCAGTAAAAACTTCACAACCTAAGAATGTACCTTCAAGGACGGTACACTCTGCACCGACTGTTCAACAGAGAAAATCAAAAGCAGCTAAAAATAAACCTCCACCACCCAAATCAGAGTCTGAGTCTGAAGAAGAGAATGAAAAACTCATGCTGAGTATAGCAGATGTCAAGGTTAGCAAGCAGTGATTGTGCACTGGGGGATGGGGGAGGAGGGGTGGGGTGGCAGTCAGGGAATAAGCAGTGTGAAGGTCTGGTATGTAACCAGTGTATAGGGGATGGGGACCTGTAAGTAAGATATTTTGGAAGGAGAGGCTTATTAAGCAGTATGTGGGTCAAGAAGGTAAGAAGTGTCAAGGGTTATCAAGCTTTGTTCGGGTCAGGTAAGGAGGGTCAAGGGTTATCAAGCTTTATTCAGGTCAGGTAAGGAGGGTCAAGGGTTATCAAGCTTTGTTCAGGTCAGGTTAGGAGGGTCAAGGGTTATCAAGCTTTGTTCAGGTCAGGTTAGGAGGGTCAAGGGTTATCAAGCTTTGTTCAGGTCAGGTAAGGAGGGTCAAGGGTTATCAAGTTTTTTTCAGGTCATGTAAGGAAATGGTGCAGGAATCATTAGGAAGCAGTAGATGGAAAGTAGAGATCTAGAGGGAGTTTCTGGTTGTAAAAGCTGAAAACTACCCATTTTTAAGACCAAGTTTAGGCCATATAGAACAACAAAGTTTATAATGACGATATGTAGTAAATGGCAGTTAGTTAAGTATCTTATTACGGATCTTCTAAATCCTAGGTTCTTTGTTATAAAAGTAAGGTGCTACATGGAAGAACATAATCATGCAGCTGAATTTTACTTCAGATATATTTTTTGTTGAATACCAAAGTAAATGATTTAGGGGAAAAAAGCATTCCAATAAACATGAAAGATAATCTTGTTATGTACATATCATTATAGAAACTTCGACAGAGTCTGGCAATGAACAGAAGTATTCGTGAAAGTTTGGCCAAGGAAGTTAGCAGTGTAAGTTTATATAAGTAAAATATAAGTTATGGTACTGCTTATTCACAGATACAGAGAATTGAAATTATACAATTCTATTTTGTAAGAAAAAATTAACTCCTTTATGAGTTGTTTGAAGGGCAAAATAATATGACACAATTAATGTAGGATCTATCAGATGATGAAGAAGTCCCAGAATGCTTAGATCATAATGGCTCTTCACAGGTTGAGTAAAGATTTATATTTGCATGAATGTGTTTAAAAAAGTATTTATTGCAAGATTGTCTGCTAAGATTAAACGTGAAGCACATACGTGTGTGTACGTTTTTGACACTTGATTTACAGATGCTAAGGATTCTGATAGACAGATGGATCTGAACAATTGTAATTTAAATAATTTGGCTCATTATGAACTGTATGCAGCACACTATCTTGCTCTCCGGTATCTATTTTCATTTTCTTTTTGTTAAGTGTTTTGTTTTTTGTGTATGCTCATAAATTAATGCATGATATAGACAAAATGAATGATATACAAGTATTTGTATTTATTAGAAAGAGTGAATGGACAAAAAACCTTTCTTTTAAGATAAAGTTTACAATTTCTAATGCTGTAACATTGTCTTTTTCCCTAGTATCAAGCCTCTTGGTGATTAAAATATCTTTATATGTATTAATGTGAATATTTTAGGAGCATTTTGGCTAGCCTTGTGTTAAAGGCATTTCAAACAATAATTGATGCATGCAGTTTAACTTTTCAAAACTAATGGGTCTGTAAACAAAAATTAGTAAAACTTTGCCCCTTGGTCAGACACATGTAAAAGTTTAGTTATATAGCATTCTCGATAGTTTATCATGGTGCAGCTTTAACAATATTTTATTTAAAGTGGAGGTGTCTTATATTTTACCAATTCATCAAGGTCAACAGGTTTCAGATTCATTATTATACATGTAACTTCAACATCAGATTGAAGACTTTACCTGTGCTAATTCATAAGTAGATGAGATGATGTTGGTTGACATTTCTAATAGAGATAACACCTTACACACTTGTTGTTTCTATGACAGGATGAGGGGGAGTCGGAGCGGGCATCCCCCATCCCTGAGGAGGATATCGAGGAGGACTTGGTCCCTGCTATGGACAGTGTGTGTTTAGAAGACAAACAGAAATATAAACCCACTTCATTTAAACCAACAGACACCATTGTGTTAGAGCTAGAGGTCCCTCCCTCTAAGAGTAAGTGAACCAGTTTGTGTAATAAATATATGTTTATTATTTCCTTTCATAAGATAAGATCATGAAGTGGGTATTTTAGTGAGTCACAAATTAAACTTTTTTTTTTTCCTTCCTCCAAGAGTTTTAGATATAAAGAACATTTTTTTAGCAAATTCATGAGAATGCTATTAAAGATAGATAATTCTGTTTGCAAAGTTGTATAAAATATTGTGATTTCAATTTTTAGCAATGTCGGCACCATCACTTATATGGATTCATTATGATTGCAAAAATTGCCAATTTTACAATACCTGGTACATTTCAGGGTTAGAGTTATCAAAATTAACATGTCATAATATTGCCATTGTCATTATGTAGATAAAGTCCAGAAGAATTTGTCTGCTGCAAGAAAGAAAGACCTGGATGAAGATTTAAGTGAATATAAATCAAAAAGGAAAGAACCTTTAAAACCCACAGCAACTTCTCAATCAAGTAAGCATTTATGTTTTTTTTCTGGCGATATAGAATTAATTTACCTAGAAAAGAATACACTTTGGAAATAAGAAAAAGAGGTTACATAAAGTAAATTATTTACAATTATATCTGTATACTGTATGTGTACTTAAAAAAGCAGGCTTTATAATTTAGCGGCTTTGGCGCAGACAACGATGCGCTAATTCATGAATACGGCTAAGAAATCATTTATAAATACAATATACAGCAGGGACATATATAGTGTGAATTCATGATTTCGCCAACAATTCCACACCCAATAATTGCGCTAAATTTTAAATACGCCAATTTATGTACACGTACAGTATTTCCTTTTGACTTTTTAAAATAACTTTTGAATTATTTGTTATACATTTAAAATACATGTATTTTCTGTAGTTCTTATTACAGACCAGAAAAAACCCTCCACCCGTCCTTTGTCAGCAAGTCGTATCAGCACTAAGACAGTGACTGACTCGCAAGAAGAGGCGTCAGCAGTGTTAGAGGCCATGAGAGCAGAAAATGAGCAGGCCTCAAAGCTCAAAAAAGAGGCACCTAGAAAGCTGCCACCAACTCCTAAACAGGTAAGCAGTGTGAAATACTGTCACAGAAAATGAGCAGGCCTCAAAGCTAAAGAAAGAGACACCTAGAAAGCTGGCACCAACTCCTTAACACTGTCTTACACTACAAAAGGAAATTATAAAAGTTGTGAGTTGAAATCAGGACATATTTTAACCTTTCAGTGAAGGAAATTGGCTAATGAAAATGGTGTCATCATGCAGCTTTCAATGTCTTATTTATTCAAAACTGGACTATAAAATAAAACTATTATGGACCTTTAAGTGGTCAATATGGTTTGATATTTACCAGAAAAATATCAATATTGACCAGTGTGAAACCACCTGAAGAGTCCATAAATGTATACTATTTCCACTTGTCCAATTTATCATCATCAATCAGGAAGAATGACAAGTATTAGTAGATCATCAAAGTTTACACTTGCCAATGTTCTAGACTAAAAAAATTGTCCAAATTTTAACCTGCAAAACTAACCATGTGTAAGGTATATTATACAATTATGGACATCAGTGTAGGTCAATATGTGGTTATTAGGTCCCATGTCAAGTGATGTTGACAGAAGACACAGAAAGTGATAGCTACCGAGCTTGCGAGGTCACTATCAATTTCTGTGTCTGAGGTCAATTTCACTTGACATGGATCCTTATAACCTCACATTGACCATTCACCGAAGTTCATAATTGTTATATTATATAATCACTCAGTTTGAAAATGAATAATCTGACACAGTCCCAACTGAACAGATTTGGCTGTCATAACATCACAGTGGTTAAGACATGCTTCTTAAATTATGACGTCACATTCTACACGTAGTGCAGTCGAACAGTGAGTCATGCTATATCATATTCCACGGACATGCTTTTGCGTCAATATCACAAAAGGACAAATATCACATGACATCCTTTCATCCAGTGAAAATTACAAAAACAATCATATAATATATATGAGTTTTATATTCCAGAGACTCCGCCCTGCCAGTGCTGGTCACATTCCGTCCTCTCCACTTCCATCCGCCGAGATTCGGCCTTCTCCACGCTCCAGAGATTCTCCACGAACATCTGTTAAGGAAAGCAACCAGTCTACAGATGTAGGAAATAGTGTCAACGTACAGGACAGCTTCCTAGCAAATGACAGAATCTCAGAAGTCATGAAAAAAGTTCTCCTCATGCAACCAAAGTAATAATAGAAATTAAACTTAATTAGGAAAAACTATAAATACAGTAAAAAATGCTTATAGTGAAATATGCCAGAAACATGTAAATCTGGTAAATACTTGTAAAAGTAAATGAAAAACACAACAACAGAAATTGTATAATATTAGATGCCACAGGATAAAATGCTTATTTCTGGACTCTCTCACTGCCGAAGCTTTTTCGCATGTGAGTTAAGGCTAGGTATAGGCATTTATATGCAAATGAGCTAATAAAGACCAATAAAAGGTATATTAATTATTCAGAGAAAGTTTTCTTTTATCTTCTTATACATACTTACCCACGATATGTTATAGCCAGTACACATTATGACGTCATTGTTCTTACCTACTGAAGGTAATTAAACAGATCAACAAAACAGCTTTGGCGCTAGGGATTATCCTATTTAATTTTACATAAAAATTGTATAATGCTAAGAAGAATATTTTATACATTAATAAAACTGCTGCACAAATCCTAGGCATTTTCTCATTTGTTTAGAATTTGAGGAAACATACCGTTCTGTACATTTTTACCCTGTTTCAACTTAAAACTTTACAAAAAGTTAAACAACTAAGCTGTTGATATTTGTGCAGCAATACCAGAAATCCTTGGAATATTTTGCTTCTAAATATACCTTGTTTCATTTAAATAAAATAGAGCATGCCCTTGTGCCGAAGCAATTTTGTTGATGTTGTGTATTATCATGTGTAGTAAAGAACATTTACGTCATATAATGACGTCATAATGTGTACTGGCTACATCATGATGTGGGTAACAAGTATATAAAAGACAATAAGTATTAACTTTCTCTGTATAATAGGTATAGTCCTTAAGCATTTTAATTAGTTTATTTGCATAGAAATACCTATACCTAGTCTTAACTCACTTGCGTTAATGGTCATGTGAACTTTTTTTTCTGGAGTCTCCTGAAATATTGAAGTTGCTCTGTCAGCTTTAATAATATAATAATGTATATTTGAAAATTACATTGCAAACATTTTTAATGTCTCTTTTTTTCATCTTGTTATATTTTTTATAGGCAGCAGAAAAGGTTGATGAAGGTCCTCAGTAAGATTGACTCCTCTGTAGATGACGATGAAGAAAAGTCAGGTCGGCCTCCATCTTCTAAACCAGTGAAGGCCATGCGGCCAGTTAATGATATGGTCAACAAAAGTTCAAAGGTTGATTATCTTATTTTTTGTATATGGAAAATTCTTATGTATAACCTCTTGTAACAAAATTTTTAATATAACATTCTGTTTTCAATTTTATGACCAGTCCAGCAATAAAGTTTCAGATTTAAATTGTTTTTCAATATTTTTAACATTTCTGTAATACATAGAGATCAGTTGGGAAATTTTCACCAAATGAGGACAGTATAGAAGTGAATCTTGAATTGACCTCTAACTGGGGTCACAAGAATCTGATTGGTCTGACAGAAATCCAATTCTATGACATGGACAGACAACTCCTTCCTGTCCGTAAGGAGGATGTCACTGTTCATGGAGGCTCACAACAACAGAACTCCATTGATGTCTTGTTCAATGGAAAAACAAAGGTCAGTTGGAATGCAAGTGTTATACTGCAACATTTTTTTTTTAGTGATTTTTAAAAAAAAAAAATATTATTAAATTTTTACTCAGAGATATAAATCATATAGAAGGTATGATTCATTCAAGCACAGCAGTAATTGGATTTTCATTATGATTTACAGACAAACAAAGAGAGGAATATGTGGTGCTGTAAATTTAGGAAATCTGTTCCAGTAGAGATCTGTTTAAGTCTTCAGACAAGGAAACCCCATACAGAAGTGTCTAGAATTAAAATCTGGAACCACAACAAGAGTATCACGGTCAGTATGTCATTCTTAACAATTAAAATAAAGCTGTATATTTATATGTGACTGTAGAAAGGTCTTAATGATTAAATTTGTCATCAGAATACTCGGTAAATGGATGGATTTGCTGCACAAGTACATCAAAACAGTTTTCTCATACATATATTTTCAGGACTTGGATATTGGTGTGAAACATGCCCGAATATTTGTTGGTGGAGTTCTGGTTTTTGATGGCAATATTGAGAAGGGTTGTGGAAACCAGGTTTTTGATTATGGTTGTGTGATATCACTGAAAGACAATGGTGACAAAATCTCTCCCCGTGATCCAGGAAACAGCCCTAGCCCTATCAGTCTTTCCCCAGTGATCCACACTCGATCTCCTACCTCCGACAAAGCATCCTCACAGAGGAAGTCACAAAACACCCACACACCCTCACCCTCAGCAGACAATGCTCAAAGAAATCCATTTGAACAAGCTTTTACTAGGTCTTCCAAATCCAATATTCGATCCCCTTCTCCATCTCCAAGGGTGCCTCCATTGGATCTTAGACAGAATGGACCCTCCCCATCCTCAGGGGATGGTCCAGTGATTCGCAGTGAGACACGTACCATGAATCATGCAGAAAGGGACATTCAGCGACCTGTAGTGACCTCAGACAGGTCAGGGTCAGAGGCAGAGGAGGTGCACTATAAAGGTAGGACTGAGATTATTTCACACAGTACATTTTATCTCTTTTGAAACTTTAAACATGGAAGGGAATACTCATGATGGAATCAACACCGGCATCTTATCTTTTCGCTTCCCTTTAATCATTAAGGCTCCTCCACACTCCATGACTGGTGAGGTATATTGAGAAAAAATACTTTTACTTCCTGTTTTAAAAAGTTTGTGCACTGTCAATTTCCCTGGCACTGCCTGTAAGAGAGTCTTATAAATGCTTTAGAGATGATGGTTTTATCAAAGGAAAATTATGCAGTAAACTGAGAGCAATACCCTAATCATAAACAATGAACACATGGCATGATCACGGTGTGACTCAAAGGAAAATGCATAGATTTTTTCAATAAAAGAACAGTCGACCTTTGAGTTTTTGTAGCATAATAATTCGTAAATAACTGCAGGTATATCTACAAGAAAACGTTTCAGCTTATTTATACTTTCAGACTAATCAATCCATTGCGATATCGTCAACAAAGTCTGTTGTGAAAATTTGATATTTTTGCACACTGATTTGTGCGCTTCAATAATACGTATCTCGTGTGTTTATAAATATTGATAAATAGTGTGCATTTCTAGTTTTGCTCATTTATATCTGTCCAGTTCAGTTGCCAATAACGAGTAACTTGAGTGTGATGACGTGTGCAAAGACTTTCCAATGTTTTTGAGTCCTGGTTAACAGGAAAGATAACTCTAAAAAGGCGCTTTGATACCAAAGATTTTGAAAATTATTTTTGTAAATCAATAAGTTTGATTTTAATTCAATTTTTTGTTGTAATTTAATTCATTAATGTTTCTTCTATACTATCGAGAGTCTTCCTTAATTTTTTCTCCATGTATCTTAGAGAAAATGAGTTATATTTATTTTTGTATAACTTTTATTAATTATTCTAAAAAATATGTTAACTGATGAAATTAAGCTTTTGTGGTTCTTTTCTGACCTTAATAATATAAGCCAGGAAAAAACAAAATTTGTTGTGCTTCTTATCAAAACAAGGTGGAGAAAAATTCTTAAAACTAAAAAAATTAAATTTTTAAAAAATTAATATAAATTATTTCAGTTCTTGGCCAGTTTTTAAAGTTTGATATGCTTGTTAATACAATGCTCAGTAACATGCGAACATAAGCTGGGGGTGTGTGGAGGACCCTTAAGGTCAGCATTAAAAATTAGTTTGTTTAATAAACTTTGATCTACCTCTGAAATGAATGTTTTAAGGACATTGGCAAGTCAAGGTTTTCCGGAGAAAGAAGGTTTAATACATGGGTTTTTTCACTTATAAAATAGTGATTGAGAGTGATCTCCCGTGTAGAATTCTCTAAGCGGTGGAAACCAATAAAGCGTATGTTACAGCGGTAAACAAAAGCACGTGTACTTCCTTCAACGGGTAGAATCATCTATACAGCAAGAAAGAAAAGTAGAAATGGCTTTGTTGTACATTTTATTCAGGGACAAAGAGCCAATAGGTCGTCATTTACGATAGTTGTGCTCAGTATGCTGGGAAGGGCAAAGATGTGACATATGCTGAAAGGTAGGCCGACTGAGAACAGTTCTTAGCTAGGTCGTGTGAAGGAAGCAGCATTTAGTAACTACGAATAAAAAATAAAAATAAAACAATGCCAATATTTTTGTTACAATGTGTTTCAATCAATTAAGTCAACTACATGATTAAAACAATCAACCAGTCTCTTGATCAATTTTAGCTGTTAAGGGAAGCAACTCAGAAATAATGATCGGTGCCGGTATATCCATGTTTTGTTCCGATATATAATTTTTTAGCCAAAATTTCTAGAAGTCATAGGAAATGAAGATACAATAATGTATATAATACAAAAACTGTATGAAATAAGTGGGTTTTGGAAAAATATTATGGTGAAAAATTATGTAGGTCCTTTTTATCAACATTTTACATAGGAAATGCATTGAGAAGTGTAAAAACATTGATTTCACAAAATCTAAAAAAGAAGGTTGGATTGGTAGGTTAAACGGTCCAGAATATAGCCTGTTTAGTACATTTAAACCTACTCAAGAGTTCTTGAAAAATTCTATACGATAACCAGGAACCTTGCCAATGTCCTTAAGACATTATTGTTTAGCCAATTCAATAATAGTTGGTTCATTTCTGTGTTGACCTGTTTACATGCAATTGTATACAACTCCACATGGAAAGTTACAGAAGAGAAAAATTGATCACCTATCCACTGGTCCACCTTCAAAATGAAGGATAAAGATACAAAAACAATTTTGTTAAATGTTGGCCAAATCTAAAATATACTTTCATTTTTCCAATGAAATACATATTTTGCATTCTTGCTGTTTCTGTGGAAAGATCACTGAGGTTCTTTCATATATATACAATAAACAATTGATGCATCAACCAGGGCATATATAAAAGATTGATTTTAATTTGATCTTAGACCTTCTAAAACAGAGAATTGTGTATACAGTTTTAAGATGCTTGTAAATAGATGTAATTTTTAGCCCACCTGAGCTAGAACCACTGGGCCATTTTCAACCAAACTTGGCACAGAGCATCCTTGGGTGAAGGGGATTCAAGTTTGTTCAAATAAAGAAACAAATCCTCTTTCAAAGGGAGTTAATTAAAAATTGAAAATAAAAAGGCATTTTTTAAAAATCTTCTCAAGAACTACTGGGCCTGAAAAAGTGAAACTTATTTGAAACTTTTTCACATAGTGTAGATTCAAGTTAGACAAGTATGTTCAAATTATGACCCCAAGGGGTATGGTTGGGCCACAATAGAGGATGAAAGTTTTACAAAATAATTTATAGGGGAAAAAAAGATCTTTATAAAAATCTTCTTCTCAAGAACACAAAAGGCATAAGTCAAATTGATATGGAAGCATTCTCAGGTAGTAGAGATTAAAGTTTGTTCAAATCATGTGTGCCAGGGATAGGGTCGGGCCTAAGGTAATGATCCTTTTATGGAGAAATTCATGTCTGAATTGTTAAGAGTTTACCAGTATATTTTTTCTAAAGCTGTTTTTACTTTATACTAAGTACCTCAGTCAATGAGATTGAAGAAAGCTATGTAAAGTGAAACCTATCTAATCGAACGTGCACTGGGAGACATATTTTGTGTAAGAAAAGACAGGGTGTTGGATTACACTGTGTAAAGAACATGGAAAATAGTTAAATGGGAATTAAGTCAGGGTTCAACACTAACATTAGTCCTTTAGTCTCAGACTAATACATTTTCATTCGGACTAATAAAATCTGTGGCTTTATAACTTGTTTATGCTAGGATTATTGCAGATCATTTTCTAGAAACACTTAAGATTTTGTTGCAAGTTTTTTATGCCCCCGCCGTAAAATAGCTGGGGCATATAGTGTTACCCTGTTCCATCATTCTGTCATTCTATCATTTCTTCATCATCGGCTCTCTGTTTATTATTTTGGCAACAGTTGCACACATTCAACTCAAATTTTACATATGGATATGTCATAGGAATATGTAGGTCAAGTTCGAATTTGGTCATGGTTCACTGATTTTTGACAGAGATATCCATCTTGAACTTAGCATTGACTTTCCATTCATTATCTCGGCAACAGTTGTACACATTCAACTAATGCCCTGTTCACACGGAGAGTTTATTTCGAATTAAACGTAAGTTACTGCGAATTAAATTTGATCCACGTTCACACGGAGAATTTAATGCGAATTAGTTTAATTCGAATTAGTTTACTGCGCATTAAATTACTTCGCATTAGCTCCGTGTGAATGCTAAGCGAAGCTAATTCGAATTAAATTTTGACGCATGCGAAAGGGCAGAATTAAGTCACAGGCCACATGTCGATGGTCAAATATAGGTACTTGTGCTATTTTTGAATGGAAACAAAGGAAAATTATGTAAATCACTAAAATGTGTACAGACACTATGACATTATGTCAAATGTATATCTGCTCTGCACAATATGACGTGATTTGTAAATGACGTCATAATAGCCTCACTGAATAGTCTTGTTGTAGAAATAAAATTATAATTCGCATTAGTTTACTTCACATTAGCTGTCGTGTGAACGCAATTTAATTCGCATTAGTTTAATTCGCATCCTTTTACTTCGCATTAATTTACTGCGAATTAAACTCTCCGTGTGAACAGGGCATCAAATTTGACATATGGATACGTCATAGGAATACGCAGGTTAACTTTGAATTTGGTCATGGCCCGATGATTTTTGACAGAGTTATCCCTCTTGAACTTCGAAAAAAAAAAAAAAGAAATTTTCAGTTTCCACTTTCTAACTTTTGTAGTAATGTATGTATAAAGTTGAAATTGTATATGCAGGTATATTACCAAAAAATACAGATCAAGTTTGAATTTGATTGTGGTTCGATGATTTTTGATAGGGATATCCCTCCTGAATTTAGAAAAAAAATAAGAAATTTTCAGTTTCCACTCTCTAACTTTTGTAGGGAAGTATGTATAAGGTTGAAACTTCATATGCAGGTATTTTATTAGAAAATACAGGTCAAGTTCGATTTGGTTGTGGTCTGATGATTTTTGACAGATATCCTTCTTGAACTTAGAAATAAATAAGAAATTTTCAGTATTTGCTCTCTAACTTTTGTATGGATGTATGTATAAGGTTGAAATTGCATGTGCTGGTGTTTTCCCAGAAAATACAGGTCAAGATTGAATTTGGTCATGGTCCAATGATTTTTGACAGAGTTATCCTTCTTGAACTTAGAAAAAATAAGAAATTTTCAGTTTCCACTTTCTTACTTTTGTAGGGATGTATGTTTAAGGTTGGAATTGCATATGCAGGTATATATTTTACCAGAAAATATGTGAGGTCAAGTTTGAATTTAGTTGTTGTTCGATGATTTTTGACAGAGTTATCCTTCTTGAACTTAGAAAAAAAATCTCTTGTGCAAACAAATTTAAAACTAAATATGGCATTTGGAATTTTGGCTGCCTGCAGGGGCATTTGTGGTGTGAAAACACATCTAGTCTGAGGAGTTTTTGCTCTTGTAAATTTTTAATTCACATTTAATTCAGGAAAGTCATGGTTATTTTTGTCAAGTTTCTAAAATCTAAGGAGATGTTATTCATAAATGTTAGTTCCCATTGTTTTAGTAGCAGAGAGGTATAGTCTCCCTTTGTATAGGACACCAGCCAATCAGATGTCTGTCAAAAACCAGGAGGAACATAATGAAATAAAAAGCCTGTTAGAGAATTACAAGTTTATGTAAGGTAAAAAGTACTCATTTAAAAAGATGGCAGGCCTATTTAATCTCTGTTGAACAATTTTTTGGAGGGAAGGGGGGATTGAAATAAATTTTATGTTTTAGATTATTTGAAGAAAAAAAAAATAGATTTTAAAATTCAAGGAAAACTAAAATTTCAATGTCACTGATGAGTTTTACAAATGAATTATGCATTAAACACCTTTAATTCTTCTGTAAGTTGTGATTTTAGCCAAACTGGACATTTAAATTAGCACTGTGACCTTAATGTTATTGACTTTAATCTCAGAATGGTTCTCCCTCATTTGACGTTCTGAGTTATGCTATATTTTACATAGACTAAGCACTTCCAAGGCATTTAAATCCAGTGTCACTTTATTGTTGACTCGGGTTTTTCACCCTGTTTGTATCTCTAAGTATGGCTGTCATTTATTTTAGTCTTATTTGGCAAGCCCAAGTGAAAGTGAGGGTGAATATTACATGATTATTGTATATTGTCTGTCTACAGCTAGGATCCTAGTAAAGAAAATTTAAGATGTTACGTTTTTGACCTAGATTCATTGCCATTAATACGTTTTAAAGCTTGTTATTAAGTGGAAGCATTGAAATTTTGCCATTGTTTACTGTGTTGTCAGGAAATATGGCGAGGTCTGTACTATAACACAGAGTTGTGCATATAGATTTTTTATGTCTGCTGGCGTGAAATAAATAGAGGAGGAATCATGAATACATTATAAGAACTATGACATGAGTCATGTGAAATGTGTTATGTACAATCTGTGTACTAGATTTAGTAAACAACTTGCGAGCCCTGGAGTAGACATTTGAGATAGATTTTTCTGTGGGGTTCAATGACAGAGAATGTTTCTTTGGAAATATTGATTTTATAATTATGTCTGTGAAAGCAAATGGATCTTCTCCTCGGATGTTCTTACCCCAGATTCCAGCTCCTCAGACAAACAGAAAACTTCACAATGGTAGACAGGATTTATTTAAGCCAAGCCAGGGAAACCCTTTTGCTCATAACTATGGCAGGGAGAAAAGCAGAGATCAGTTATTCCAAACATCAGGTTTGAACAGTAACAGCAAAAACTATCAAAATTCCTCAGGGGTTTCCCTACCCAAAATATCTAAGGTACCTCCGAAGAAGAGGAAAACATGGGGGAAAGTTGTAGACAGACAATCCATTGAGGAGGAGACACCCTCTAAACGGGGATCATGGTCTATTTATGAAACAAACTTAGCAGTTCCTAAACTTTATGATCCTAATGGTTCAAAGGTCCGAGATCTTCCATACAATTCCTTTGAGAATCCAGATGAAGTGTCTTCCAGTGTCGAGAATAGTGATTCATATGGGGGCAGTTCGTCTGGTAGAAGACGAAAGCAATGGTCAAGACCAAACAAAAAAATAGCTACACAAGAAATCCCAGTCTCTATTGATGAAGAAGGAGAAAATGGCAGCTATGGAATTGATCAAAGAGCTGATCCCTATCAAGGCACTCCTAGGATTATTTACGACAGGCATGGTCCTGTTACTGCAACATTTGAACCAAGCTATGGTGGTCCTCCAATTCCAACCAATCACTATCCCAGCTCTCAGAGGTATTACCGAACACCTCGTAACAGACGTCCAGGTCAACCCGCTAGTTCCGATTCTAACTATGCACTAAACACTGGTTCAACACGTTCTGATGATGGTGAACAAAATATAGAAAATCTGCTGGATAAGTTTGCTTCAGATGTTGACAATGAGGCATATGTAAATCTGAGTCATCGCAACAAAGCAAACATTTTCAGTGGCAACTTTAGGCCTTTCTATCCCTCCCCAAGTAACTTTGTAGTAAGCCCCCCTCCTCGTGCCAAAACTAAAGCCAAGCCAGTATTATCAGACAAAAGAGCAAGTGCCCCACACATGCCTATTCAGCAGGAATCCCAACAAGCAAGTGCTCATTCTAAAGTGCCTCCCAGTCAACCTACAGCTGATAATGTGGTTGCTGGTAAACCACCCTTAAGTGGGAAAAGGGTGAATAACCCAAGAAAGAAAATTATTTCTGCACGTTCTGATGAATCCAGACCTGCAAAATATACATATACTATAGAAAAGGGGGACAATAATAGTGATTTAAAAAATGGTCAAGCAAGTACAAGTGAAAAACAATCTGATGATAGACCAGCTAAGTACACTTACACTAAAGACGATGATGATAGACCTGCTAAATACACATATACTTTAGATGAAGATTCCAAACCCCGAACTGTGACATTCAAAGATGAAAACAAGAAAGTTAGCAAAAACTCAATTGCAAAATCTAAAACAAAAAATAAGACAGTAGGGTCAACACATAAAAATAGCTCTGGTACTTCCTCACAAGGAAATTCTTTGAAAGACTCAACCACTGTTGACCAATCAGAATCCTCTTTTTCTCCAGGTCGTAGAAACTGGTCCCCACCAACTGGTGAACTGTTTGATGAAGACCCTCGGCAGTTTTGGGTGGATATAAATCCCAAAAAGGAAGGTAAAAAAAAATCCTGAAAATATTTTTGCGGAGTGATTTGCTTTGTAGAAATTTTGGGGGAGAAAAGATGATAGACCTGCTAAATATACATACACATCTGATGTGAATGTTCAGAAGTAATTTGTCTAGTTATTGTGACTTCCCTGCTGATGAGAAACTAACAAGAAATAAATACAGTTAAACCTCGGTATCTGGAACTCAGTGGGACTGACCAAAACCATGGAGATATCTAAATGTTTGAAATAATGAAACTCGAAATCAAACTATAGTTAGGACTGTGGACTCAATTCAACATATCCATGATATTCAACCTAATGGTACCTGAGATACCGAAGTTCAACTGTAAATAATTTCTTGTATTACAGATGAATTTATTTATTTGGAATGATTTTTTAAAAATATTTTTTATAAACATTTTGAAAATATTTTTGAAATATTGACCATGTGATTTTCTTCCACAATGAATATTTAGTTTTCAGTAACACAGCATGCATTTTCTCTGTAAAATTATTATCTCTATTTGTACAGTACTATTTTATAGTCTGAGTAGAGATAACATGATGCTTTTGGTCTTTCATTATTAACACAGTACAACATGTTTATGATGAATCATTATAGTGTGAATACATGAAGATAATAAAGTGATATTTTGTTACTAAGTAATGTAAAGTGTAAAGAATATGTAATATATTTTGGATATAATGAATCTTTTAAGTGCATTATAACCATGTTCTACTGTGTAACATATTACTATTAAGGTTCCTTGACCCTCTGATAAGAGAGGTAACTCTCATTGGGATAAATGATTATTTTTTTTTTTTTGAAAGTTGTCAAGTTGAAATGCCATTTCTGTCAAATTTTGCCCCACAAGGTATGCTAAATTGTGAGCATTTTAAACAAAAAAAATTTCCTTTAGAAAATTGTTATTGTTTAAGCAAAATTTTGTACGAGTGACAGAGGGACAATGAACCATAAGTATATAATTCTTGCTTGCTGATTGAAGAACCATATTATAATCTGTACTTACCTGGTAATGCTTTAGTGTTAATCTGTTAGCTGATTCACCATCCACATCTCCATTTGCTTACTGGAAGCTTATAAATCATTAAATTCATTAAATTTGTCTGTTGCTCATTGGAATAGAGTTTGTATCAGTCTTGGAATTAAAACCAAACAAAATTAACAAGATTTTCTTCCATAAAACTTTTCAGAATTTTCTTTCTGTTTTATATGAAAAAAAAGATGCTGACTTTCAAAAAACTGCAGTCTTTTATCAAATTCCAGGTTCATAACAGTACATGTATTTTGGTTGAGGTTCATGTCAAAACATGGCTAAGACAAAATAATTCCTGAATCTCCCCTCTCGATTCAGGTATTTTTGCTCTATACTGGGACTGAATTTTTTTATGAGATGAAAAAGTTGAAAAACTATGTTAACTTTCTGTATTTACCAGATTCATTTAAATATTTAAGGTATGCTGATTTTTTATGCCCCCGGATCGAAAGATCCCAGGGGTATATTGTTTTTGTCCTGTCTGTCTGTTTGTCTGTTTGTTTGTCTGTTTGTCTGTCTGTCTGTTGTCAACTTTAACCTTGCCCATAACTTTTGATTGGTTGGAGCTATGACTTTCATATTTCATATGTGTATTCCTTGTGACAAGACCTTTCTTTGGGTACCATCATATTTGACTTTTTGACCTTGACCTTGGAGTTTGACCCACTTTTGCAAAATTTTATGAGACTTTAACCTTGGCCATAACTTCTGAACAGTTGGAGCTTGGGGTTTCAAACTTCACATGTGTATTCTTTGTGACAAGGCCTTCTTTTGGATACCAACCACTTTGACCTTTTGACCTTGGACTTTGACCTACTTTTGAAAAACTTTAACCTTGGCCATAACTTTTGAACAGTTGGTGCTTAGGGTTTCAAACTTCACATGTGTATTCCTTGTGACAAGACCTTCCTCTGGATATCAACCACTTTGACCCTTTTGACCTTGACCTAGGAGTTTGACCTACTTTTGAAAAACTTTAACCTTGGCCATAACTTTTGAATGGTTGGAGCTAGGGCTTTCATACTTCACATATGTAATCCTTGTGACAAGGCCTTCCTTTGAATACCAACGACTTTAACCTTTTGACCTTGACCTAGGAGTTTGACCTACTTTTGAAAAACTTTAACCTTAGCCATAACTTTTGAATAGTTGATGCTAGGGCTTTCATACTTCACATATGTAATCCTTGTGACAAGATCTTCCTTTGGATACCAACCACTTTGACCCTTTGACCTTGACCTAGGAGTTTGACCTACTTTTGAAAAACTTTAACCTTGGCCATAACTTTTGAACAGTTGTATCTAGGTCTTTCAAATTTCACAGGTGTTTTCCTCGAGACAAGATCTTTCTTTGGGTATCAACATTTTTTATCTTTTGGCCTGGATTTTGACTTGCATTTGAGAAATTTTAACCTTCGACATAAGCTACCATACGGGGGCATAGTGTTTCACAAACACATCTTGTTTTAATATTGTACTTGAGGGGGATGATTAGACCCTGCACTTGATTTCCAAGCACCTGCTCAACTTCTCCCAAAACAAACTTGCATGCATTGCTGTATGGCTATATGTTTTCAGTACTAAAATGTTTATAAAGAATTGCTTTACAAGATCTGAAAAGGAAACCTTTAAAATTATTGTTAAAATAAATTAAGACCACCTACTCAAGTTGTGCATTTTTTGTATGAATTAATATAAATCAAAATATAATACTGTATTGCAACCTTACAGTAGCCTAGCTTAGATAACTTGTCACCTCAGTAGGTGATCAATCACAACACCATCAGAAGTATCAACCTACTCCAGCTAGGCCCTGCTCCTTTTCATTAGTACTAAGTATACATTTGATAGGAATATGGTTCCTTTTCTCTACTAGCAGGCTAGTGGAAGAATCAATAATGGTAAGATCTAGGAGGACTGGAATCTCCCTGACTTGCTCAATGTTATAACAATAAGTAATTTTTGCTGCAGATCGTGCTCATAAAAATTAGCAGAAACTGCTTCCATTAAGTTAATTTACATGAGTAGTCCAGTACATGTATTTATGACACCTCTTAATAATCTAGCCATTAACCAACATCACTAGCCCTTGCATTTAGCCCTTGGCCCTTGCCACTAGGAATGTTGACTTGATTTAAAGGTATATATTGCGTATTGTTGATAAATTCAGATAACCAAAATTAAAAAAATCTTTCTATTTGTTTCATTACTTTTATATAAAGGTAGGACTTTTCTATAAATTACACAAATTAAATCAATTGCATTTCACAGATATCAAAATTTTGAAAGAATAGTCGATTTATTTACCGACTCCACAAAAATATAGTATGTAAAACAACATACAATCAAGCAATCAATATCTCCAAGTTTTTTCTCAGTCCTATTGAGTTTGAGATAACAAGGTTTGTTATATATATATATATATATATATATATATATATATATATATATATATATATATATATAGATATAGATATATATATAATATGCAGTCAAACCTCGTTATCTCGAACTTGATGGGGGCAAGAAAAAAACTTTGAGATATGAAAGGATTTGATCCATGGTATTCGAGATACCCATGATCGAAATACTGAAGTTCAACTGTGTATGTATATAAAACTAACAGTATACTGTATGTGTACTTTAATAAGCGGGCTGTATAATTTAGCAGCTTTGGCTTTGAGAACAATGTGCTAATTCATGAATATTGTTAATAATCATAAATGCAATTCACAGTGTGGACATGTATAGCGCTAATTCATGATTAGGCTAACCAATTTATGTACACGTACAATATACAAATCCCATTTTTTGATACAATTAAAACTTCCTAAAATAAAAACAAGTATGATTATGTTGATCCGAATAGATTTTCAAGTGATACTAATTTTTGTAAGTCTGAATTTTTTTTTGGGGGGGGGGGGGGGGGGGGTATGTGTGTGTGTTTTGTTTTTTTAATTTTTATATCTCAAAACCAATCCCTCTGCAGACGCTGAATATAGAAAAAACTTGAAATGACCTAATTGATTGTAAACAGGTTGAACGTGATTTACAAGTGAGTATTTCTGGTCTACTAAAATCATAAGACTTGTCACACTAAGTTACATAACAACCAAAAAACTCCAAATACCTAATGTTCCTTTGGATCATGTTTAAATATTAACATTGTAATACCAAGCGTTAAACATTTTTCAGCTGTTTTTGACTATGTAGAATATAAGACAAAGAAACCTTTGATATATAAATTTGTGATCAGTAATACTAGTAAGAAAACTTCCTTTGAATTTTAATATTCTTGATATTAAATTTAAACATTCATGGTGGCACTTTTCTTGCGTATATTACTCTCATCAATATTAGATTTTCTGGGCTACCATGTAATTGATTAAAACCAATCAATTGGCAGGCCGCTGTGTTTAAGTAATAATCATTCAGATTATAGAAAGATAAAAATAGCAACAAACAAGGACAATTAGTTTGTTGATACATGTACAACATATATTTTTTGTTGACTTGTAATAATGAATGGTGGATTTAAATGCACAGACAGTATCATTTAAACTGTTGAATGCAAAGAATGGACTAAAAGGCGAGACAACTATCTGCCAACATTAGATATTGATATTGCACCTGATCGTAGGGAATTTATCTAAACATGTGCTTGTAGTGGGGAGAAAGGACCATTTTATGATAAATATGAAATGAGGAACGATTGGCTTTGCAAGTTTTTCAATAAGTCTGTAATGATGACTTAGATAAAAAAAAATCTGTGGATCAATGAATGTCACCTTTGGATGCTTTGATGTGACAGTGTTAGAGGTTGGAATTTAAAAAAAAATGTCCGTACGACTACCTAGTATCTACAAACATTTGCAAGGTTAGAGTGAGACTTGTTTGAAATATTTATTTTATTTTCATAGTAAAGCTAAACTCAAATATATGTGTAATGAAATCTTCATTCAGTTAAACTATATGTGCTTTTCAGGAGCTGTCTCTTAATTTTCTGTTATGGTTGTGTTGTGAATTTTCATCCCATTCTTATAATTGCTGTTAACAACATGTCCATAATCTTCTACGTTGTTTATCATGTCTTTTAGGTAATTATTCATATTCTTTTCATGTAGAAATGCAGCATTTAGTATTTTATTTTATAGATGAGTCCAAAGTGGCAGGAAAACAAAAGGGTGGTTCAAAAACACCCCGGAAGTCGAAGCGAATGGCAGCCAAACTTGATGGGCATTCCTCCACAGAAGGGGAGATCACTGCTAGCAACAGTTCCAAGAATGCCAGTGAAAGGTTAGACAATTATTTAATAGATTGCCTCTTTACATTGTATAGCATTGGTAAATTGTAGTTTTGTTTATGCAGACAGTATAAAAGATTGATTACTTTGTACTTGCTTTTGTAATTTAAGAGATTTAAAATTTGCAGGCTTTTAGAATTGTTCCTTCATTACCACTGGTTTGTTTAGACAATATATAAATGAAACCACATCTTAACAGTGAGATTATGCTAAACTACTGTACTTTACTCACTTACATTAAGTATTAAAGAGCTATATTTGGTATATGCATATTTTTGCCCCCATAAATGTCAAATTCTGAAAATTTCTTGAAATGTGCTGAAATGAATATATTGTGTGAAAAAAATATAGTAATTTATTGTCAATATTTGTTTCTATGACATCACAAACTATTTGGATTTTTAGTTTTGTGTAAAATTACTTTTCAAAAAGAGGACAACATGGACAAAATTTTTTAATTTTTTTTCTATGTAATTTATAGAGCGCAAACCTGCTCTATAACAATATTCACATATTTCATTGATATATTCATTCTACACATTGTATCAAAACACTGAGTAGGCACAGATGACTTTTACTCAAAATAATGACATAATATATTAATATACACATTTTTCTATATAAATCATGGAAATTTCGAATTTACATCATTTTCCTAATGTTGTATCTAATGTATGACGTCATGGATGATGAAAATATTTAATGCTTTGAAAGCTGCAGATATCCCCCTGTTTTAGAACTTAATTGTAGATTTCTCTGTCAAAGTTTGATTTCGTTGGCAAATTTTGATCATTACCGAATATAGTCCTTTAATGTACTCCCAAGAAAATTATATAGGCCTATGACACAAAGGCAGATTTAGATTTCTGACATTACTCATCAGTTCAGTAAGATTTACAGTGTGGGTGAAAGAATCAATAAATTATTGAACAAGTCCTTGATTTTGTAAGAATAAATGAGAGGACAATAATTAATAATTAACAAGTCTAGGGATTCAGGCCTTTCAATTGGCTTTCTCATTAATTATAATGCATTTATGCCATAAAATTTGACCAATGAGTGTTAAAATAAAGAATGTAAATTTTTTTAAGTTAGATAATTGTGCTTTCTCTGAGCACTTGTAAAATTGAATTTTTTTTTCTTCTAAATACTGGAAGCTGATTGAGTAGTAAATGCCCAAGGGATGTTATGAATAATTTAATGTAACTTGACCAGATATTCAATCTGTTTAACACTTACACTAGAGCCTGCTAATAAGTGTTGTTTTTATGGTTGTCTATCACTCTACATTTCCTACAGGATTATCGTGTAGACAGACAAAATAACAAATGGAGGAGAAATTCAAAAGTCGTTATAATCGTAAAAAAATTCTTTGTCATAGTGCTGATGTAAGAAGTCCTAAAGGAAGTGGTAGGAAGCCTGATGAAAGGCCAGGATCAGTCCACGACAAGAGGACGGCTGAGGCAGCAAAACCATCCCAGGTCGAGGATGTTAAAAATAACACGTCGGACGAATCTCTGCTACAAAGTCAAGACGACATACCCATGTTACAGAAGCTTAAACAGATGAACCAAAACAGCAAGTGAGTAGTTGTCTGGTTAGAAAGGTTATAGAACGTATTACACAAGTCTTGTAACTGTTCTAGTGTTTGACTAGTTAGTTGTCTATTGGGATTACATGTAGTTTAAATCCTAACAAAAATGGTACATCATGAAGCCTAGCTGGGATGAGCAGAACACATAAATATTTTGCAAATTTGAGGTAGAGCCATTTTTTCTGAAGATAACAAAGGGAGTTAAACATGTTAAAGTTTGTAAATTAGATATTCTGCTTATATATATCTTGGAGATTTTGACTGAAATTTCAGTGAAAATTGGAGATTATTTAAGTCAATATATTGATATCCCTCCTTCCCTCTCTGATTCCTCCATGTCTTCACTGTATCTAATCAGATAGTCTTAACTTTATTCCATCATCTTTGTAAAAAGTGCATATTTAATACATACCGTATAAGCAGAATTTTTAGCGAGGATTTAATTTTGGCATTATTAGCGAGGGTGTTGAGATTGCTAAAATTGAATATTGCTAAAATTTAATTATGTATCAATTGTAATAGCTTCTTTTGTTTTTAATATAAAATCGCTAAAATTACTTCTCGCTAAAAATATATACCGATTTTTAAGGATATATTGCTAAATTTGCATCTCTCTAAAAAAATTCCACTTATACGGTACATCAAGTGTTCATTAATTTTAACTCGTATATGAAAATGACAATTAAAAGGGATTTTATTTTAGAAGTAAGTAGTGGGTATAAATTTACTAATCATTAAAAATTATTCAATGTTGAACCATCTTAACATTTCAGTCAATGCATTTGTAGATTGCTGTCTAACAATAATGGAAGCATAATTATTATTAATCATGAAAATGGTCTTGAGGGGGAACGTGTCTGGACATTTGAGTATTATTGACTTTTCTATATCACCCAAGTACTACTGTACCTTCACTGCTCAAGATTGTGTACATCCTCTCTCATCATTAATAAAATGCTCAACTTTTTAACCAAAATATTATTGACAACCCAAATTGTGTGTGTGTTTAACCTGGAATAGCAATATTTTTTGACAAGCCTCTCCTTTTTGTGAAATTGTAGACAACATTGCTTGAATGCCCTGCTTATGTTTAAAATTCTAATATTATATTATTATTTAAATAGCAAGCCGAACCTATGTTACGCAGAAGATATATCCATATTTCTAGCAGTTATCATTTCATCAGTACTTCTAAAAGATTTCAAAATCAACTAATATATTTTAATACTAAGGATGTCAACGAGTACCCGGTTAACCGGGTACTCGATCGAACGTCCGAGTATCGAATACTAAAAATGGTACTCGGTTACTCGGAAGTCTATTTCTTCTTATTTCAATGTACATATTTTTATCAAAAATTATCCAAAAAGTAACTTAAAACTGCAAACGGTTATTAGCGTGTTGTCATCTACACCTGTAAAAAAACCCGTTATCGCCTGTGGCTGTGTATATACAGTAATTAGTGACCAATCACCTGGTGCACAGCTGTTCTCACCTATTGTTGTCGTTAATTTTTGGATGGCTTCAATGATTGCTTTCAGTGAACATCGATTCGAAAGTATGGTATAATATCTTCAAATCATTTTTAAATTATTTAGTTAATATATGGCAGCGAAATCGGACATGCATAGAAATGCCGCTACCCACTTCAAAAGTGAAGAAATATTTAGAAATAACTAAAGATTAAAAAAAATGTTGGAAGTCAGTTTGTGTAGTAAGTTTATACGAGGGAAACAACCAACTTAGACTAGAGATACCAATAACGTCCGTTCCTTCCCTTTCGCTAGTCTAATCATTACAAACCTGCGTAGCAGATTGTCCTCCTTTTGCGTTGATGAAATAGATCCTAAGCAATAACTGTAAACCATTTGTAATTTTTTATGTATTAATTGTGTCTTTTGTGTTTATTTGATAAATAAATTTAGTACCAAAAATCAATTCCATTGGACTTGATGTTTATATATAATTAAACGTGATAAAAACAGCTTTGGGGTTTAACAGAGCTTAACGTGGCTCAAGAAAATTAACACATTTGTATGTACATTTTTACTTGTACCGAGTACCCCGGGTACTCGATCGGAAACACGTCCGAGTAACCGATTATCAAAAATTGACCGATTTGACATCCCTATTTAATACACATCTCTAATAAATGTTTCTTTTTCCATCTCTTTCAACCAGATTCAACTTTTATTCACGAGCGAGGAATTTCCACAAGTTTTGCGACCTTCTTATAATCCCAAACATTTTTTACTGCAAACTATTCTTTCCATTTTGTATTTCCAATTGCATAAATTAGTCATTGTGAATAGATTTCAAACTGACAAATTCCGAATAAAAGTTATTGCAAATACATGTAATAGTTGGTTTACAATATTTCATATCAGATAGTGTGAACTGTCAAGCAAGGGAACTTTCATTGTATTTAATCTATATAATTTAATTTATAAGTTTGTCAACCTTTTTCTGAATACTAGCTTTTCTGTATTTACATTCAGACATGCTTTTGTTTTAAAGTTGTTTACATCAAGTCATTAATCAGTACATAGACAATTAGACATCACTTGATTGAAGAACCTAAGACTTTCTTAACACTAACCATAATATGAAATGTATGAGTGATGGGCAGTCAATTTATAATCATTTACATTAATGGGATTGAAATAAGATAGTGGACTGATCGACTTCTTATAACTGTAACATAATCAATTAATAATTTTATGATGGGCAAACTTTTACTTTAAGGTACTAAATTTTCAATTACAGGGTATTTTTTTTTCACTTATTAGTGCCAACTCTGCTTGAACATCGAAGGTTATAGCACTAATACTTTTTTCAAAATCTAAATCACCAGCAAAATTGCTTTCCAAGTATAAATATACTAGTATGCTGAGATTAATAAAAATTCCCTTAGACTTGAGCTTGTAATTAATATGACTTTATAATTATTATTGCTGGTGATCATATCTGTTGTAAATTCCTGTCACTGAGTTTGTTACCTATTTACATTTTCAATAGATTAAGGAGTCAACATCATCTGATAGTAAGCAAATATTTTTTTCTTAATAAGAAGTCATCAAGAACATTAAGAATGAAAATATTGAGTTCTATTTTCAGATAAAAATTTTGTAATTGATAAGTGGAATCAAAATACTATGGAATCATTTTTAATTTATGGAAGTTAGTGTTTTTTAAACAGCCAGTATATTATGTACAGGTTCATGGGGTTTGTGGGTAACTCATATAATTATACAGAAGATTAAGTGTACTCATACATTCACAAAGTTATTGTTCATTGGGTTGTAAATTCACGGGTAAGGGTGATGCATGATATCCATGCAGGGACTTTGGTATCCGTAAACAATTATTCCAAATAAATTCAAAATGATTCCAAATAAACACATGAGCTGATTTCTGCTCTGACATCATTGATATAAATGTATTATGTTTTCAAATCACATATGGTTTATCAGTGTACATGAATATTTCTAAAGAGTATCACTGGACTTTAGGTTTAACATGTATAACGAGGACAGTCAAGCAAACATTACGAGGCGCCCAGTTTGGTTGGATAAGATGTTACTAGGCCGCAATAAGAACATTATGTAATTTTTTAATTCTTTGCATGAAATTATGGTATTAAGCATGCAGCTTTCAGCAGTTTCTTCCACTTTTTGCATTGTACTTTACTTTTTAAATTTTGGATATGTGTATTATGCATGATAATGAGGACATAAGAGGGTTTCTTCATTCAAGCAGAATGACACTCCTTGGGGGTTGGCTGTTGGCATCCTTTGAGTCAAACCCAATCTAATTAAAATTAGATGTTCAGAATCCACTACTGCTTCTCAAACATCTAACAACATCCAATTCGGGGTCATGTCAGAGCGACTTCGATTATGAATAAACATGAAAATTTTGGCCAATCAGATTCAAGCTTCTGTATAGGATTCTAAAATTAGTTCCATGGCTACATCTTAACATTATTGATGCTCAGTATTCTGTCTTAAAATGTTGAATTAAGGTAATTTTAGTATAAATTGAATGTATAGTCCGCCAATATGGCATTCTTACCTGAATAACATAACAAAAATGCACAAACTATACAAGATATCCCGCACGTCCCATTCATACATAGCACGGCCTTTGCCATGCATAGTTTGTTAACTATGAAACTCCACGGTCGTTTAGGTTTGGCAGTAAAAAAGGAAACACATCCGAACTATAAGCCAAGATTTCAGAGGTGACGATTTTATTGGCTAATCGAAAGGAATTGCTTTGACGTGACCCCAAATGGGATGTTGTTATATGTTTGAGAAGTGGTAGTGGATTCAGAACATCTAATTTTAATCAGATTGAGTCAAACCCATTTTATATGTTGGATTTCAAGTGAATGAAATTAGCTGTTTCTGGGGATTTTCATGTTTCTCCAATGTTCAATTTTGTTTACAACTCCAAGTTAATTATTTTTCATACATGAAGGTTATATAGGTTATATAAAGCCTTTTTTTTTTTAAATACTGTATATCAGATTTTTTACATGTATTTTTTTTTTTTTTTAGATCAGACCCTAATAGTGTATGCAATACTAAATTTACATGAATCAAATTTTCACAATTTCAAAGTTACAGTGAAAATATAATTAAGAAATTATTTAGGAAATGTAGAAAAATAAGGCATTGAAGTGTTGTGCAAAAAATCAGAATGTTTCGTTTATATGTCACACACAATTTCCAATAATTATTTAATGGCTTATGTCTTGTAATCATGTAAGCTTCTTAGTAACAATAAATAAAAGAAAGAAAAATTGTTGTAAATTTGCGGTTACTACAAGTATACCTAATTAACACCCTGTTATTTAAAATCAACACCTGCTAGGTACACTTGAACATCCCCCCTCCCCCCTTGTCCAGAGATGGCCATTTCAAATGAACCAAAATTGGGGTTACAAATTTTACAATTTTTTATTGCAAAAGTATTGGCTGTGCTTGTACAGGAGGGAAACAAAGCACACACAACACAACTTAATTAAATACAGACATAACATTCACAATACACAGTACGTACATGAATACCTTAATATCAAACTTACGGTAGACATCTCCTTTACAAAAACAAAACTTTTTGTAAAATATAAGCTGATTTACTTTTTGCAATTCCAAAATGCTCATAAACAAAGCAGAAATTGAATACACTTGGAAAAAAAAACTGATATACAGTATATTTTCACTTTAAAAGCATACCTATAGTATGTTTAGAAATAATTGTTTTTACAATATCACATCTATATAAACATTTATAAATACTAGTCTTGAACATGCTTCAGTATTTCAGAATAATCTGTATCATACAATATTTTCTGCACAGAGTAGAAGTAGTCCAAAATGCTTTAAACATGATACTTGTAATAATTTATAAGACTGTGAAGTCTACCAGTGTGCTTCAGAGTTTATTTAAATGATGTTGCTTTTTTTTGACATGTAAAATGTAGAAGATGATTATCATGATCCATGTAAATACATGTACAAGCTCATTTATATATACAGAACATACATGTTATTGTCAGAATTCTATATGATTTATCCTGTTTCAAGCATAAATCAGACTAATGTTAATTCATAGAACATTGCAATGAATGCAGTATTTGAATATACAAGTCAAAGTAAATTTCATTTTTTTTTATGTATTAGGGACCAGAAAAGGAAAAAAGATGTCCCAAAATGGTTAAAACAAGAGGAATCTGGTAAGTTTTGTATATTTCAGTGATGAATTATTGATTTAAAATATTTACTTTTCATTCATGATTGTCATTCTGTGAGGTCACATGAAGGTTTGATTACCACACAGCAGGTCCATTTGAAAATCCACCAAGTCGAGGAGGAAGTCGCCAAGATGTTCCAGCCCCCCTCCCTCTAAAAGATCACATGATTCAACAGGAGGATGTAGACATGTTAATCGATGAGGAACTGGCTCTGTGGCCAGAAAGTGGGTAGGTATTCATAGAGATGTCACTACTGTATACAGCTTAGGCATTCATAGAGCTGTCAATACTGTATACAGCTAAGGGATTCACAGAGATCTAAATACTGTATACAATTTAGGTATTACAGAGATGTCAATACTGTACAGCTTAGGTATTCACAGAAATGTCAATACTGTATACAGCTTAGGTATTACAGAGATGTCAATACTGTATACAGCTTAGATATTCATAGAGCTGTTCAATACTGTATACAGCTTAGATATTCATAGAGCTGTCAATACTGTATACAGCTTAGGTATTACAGAGATGTCAATACTGTATACAGCTTAGGTATTCATAGAGCTGTCAATACTGTATACAGCTTAGATATTCATAGAGCTGTCAATACTGTATACAGCTTAGGTATTCATAGAGCTGTCAATACTGTATACAGCTTAGGTATTCATAGAGCTGTCAATACTGTATACAGCTTAGGTATTCATAGAGCTGTCAATACTGTACACAGCTTAGGTATTCATAGAGCTGACAATACTGTACACAGCTTAGATATTCATAGAGCTGTCAATACTGTATACAGCTTAGGTATTCATAGAGCTGTCAATACTGTATACAGCTTAGGTATTCATAGAGATGTCAATACTGTATACAGCTTAGGTATTCATAGAGCTGTCAATACTGTATACAGCTTAGGTATTACAGAGCTGTCAATACTGTATACAGCTTAGGTATTCATAGAGCTGTCAATACTCTGTACAGCTTAGGTATTCATAGAGCTGTCAATACTGTATACAGCTTAGGTATTCATAGAGCTGTCAATACTCTGTACAGCTTAGGTATTCATAGAAATGTCAATACTGTACACAGCTTAGGATTTCATAGAGCTGTCAATACTGTATACAGCTTAGGTATTCATAGAGCTGTCAATACTCTGTACAGCTTAGGTATTCATAGAGATGTCATTACTGTATAAAGCTTAGATATTCACAGAGATCCCAATAGAGATGTCAATACTGTAATCAGCTTATGCATTACAGAGATGTTAATACTGTAAACAGCTTAGGTATTACAGAGATGTCAATACTATAAACGGCTTAGGTATTACAGAAATTTCAATACTGTATACAGCTTAGGTATTCATAGAGATGTCAACACAAATACAGATTAGGTATTCACAGAAATGTCAATACTGTATACAGCTTTGCTTTTCTTTATTCTTACATTCCTTTTCCCAAGTCAAGGGTTTCTGATCCAGGCCACTCCACATAAACCCTTGTTTATATGGAGTGGAGTGGATCAGAAACCCTTGACCAGGCAAGATAGGTTATATTTTGCATTTGGCTGACTAGGTGAAAACCTGAGAAAACTTATTATACTTGGTTGACCAACAAAGCCCATGGGTTTTGTCTCTAAAGCATAATCTGTTTTGTCCCTTATTAATTAGCAGTTTTACATGTATGTCAAATTTAATATGTACTTTTCATTAATTTTAGTAATTTCACTAGTGTTATGCATACATTTTGATATATAAGTTTATTTAATTAAATACTACCTTGAAAATAATATTTTATATTATTTTAATTTGCAATCTTATGACCAATTCAATATGTACTTATATCATTAGTTAGTGTTATTTTCACATTTTGATTTAATTCTCCATGAAAATGACAAAAACAAATCTACAGCAAACTTAAAGGTTGTACAAAGTACATCCTAGAATCTCAATATTTTCATTCGAAATTGTTCCCTCAAGGTTATCTAGAGTTTATTTATGATTACAGGAAGCCTGATTTGAAGACTGTATTTGATACAGACAAGAAACCCCCACCATCTTCATCCAAGTCTGGAAAAGAATCAGACAGCGCAACTCCCATGAAGAAAATTCAACAGAATCGAGCCAAGTGGAGAGACAATCAGAAGAAAAACTTGGAGGAGTCATGGGGCTCACTCAATATGTTTGACCGACACCAGAAGGGGAGGATTTCAATGGATTTAGATGGTAACATATACTCTCTTTCATGCATTATGTGTTCACAGACTGAAACAAAGTACTTGTAATGTTGAAAAATTTTAATCTTGTGGTTAATATTTCAAGATTTTTATGCCCCCGGATCTAAAGATCCCGGGGATATATGTTTTTGTCCTGTCTGTCTGTTGTCAACTTTAACCTAGCCCATAACTATTGCGCTGTCAAGGGTAAGGCTTTAATATTTGACATGAGTGTTCATTATGACAAGACTTTTCCTTGGGTACCACCATATATGATCTTTTGACCTTAACCTTGGAGTTTGACCCAGTTTTGCAAACTTTTACCAAACTTTAACCTTGGCCATAACTTTTGAACGGTTGGTGCTAGGGCTTTCAGACTGCACATGTGTAGTCCTTGTAACAAGACCTTCCTTTGGATACCAACAACTTTGACCCTTTGACCTTGACCTTGGAGTTAGACCTACTTTTGGAAAACTTTAACCTTTTTGATAACTTTTGAACAGTTTGTGCTAGGGCTTTCATATTTAACATGTGTAATCCTTGTGACAAGACCTTCCTTTGGATACCAACAACTTTGACCCTTGACCTTGACCTTGGAGTTTGACCTACTTTTGGAAAACTTTAACCTTGGCCATAACGTGTGAACGGTTTGTGCTAGGGCTTTCATACTTCACATATGTAATCCTTGTGACAAGACCTTTCTTTGGATACCAACAGCTTTGACCCTTTGACGTTGACCTTGGAGTTTGACCTACTTTTGGAAAACTTTAACCTTGACCATAACTTTTGAACAATTGGTACTTCGGCTTTCATATTTCACCTGTGTATTTCTTGGGAGAAGGCCTTTCCTTTGGCACCATTAATTTTGACCATTTGATCTTGACCTTAATGTTTGACATACTTTTGAAAACAACTTTAACCCTTTCCATATCTATTCAATGGTTGCTGCTAGGGCTTTCATATTTCACAGGTTTATTTCCCGAGACAAGACCTTACTTTGGGTATCAACATATTTGATTTGCATTTGAGAAAGTTTAACCTTTGCTATAAGTTGCCATACGGGGGCATCAGTGTTTCACAAACACATCTTGTTTCATAGTAAAATTTTGATGCACAATGAATCGTCATTTCTTGAATTATCATTCTCTCAGTTTTGATGTTAGTTATTTTCCATTCATGATGCATAAAATGTAAACATAGAAAATTACATGTGTGGATAATTACACTAGATATGTGATACATGTAAGTAATTTTTTGCATAAATGTTCCGCCATATACCAATTTCATTGTTTATATTTCAGTCAGTTACTAAATAACAATACATTATATTGGTATTACAGAAATAATCCCCATTTGTTTGACTTTTGCAACTTAATCAAATAATAAGACAAGAAAATATCCACATTTACAGTATTTAAATTTTGTAGATGATGCTCTAGATGAATATCTACAACTGTCCTCTAAGAAAGCCACGCCCAATCAACCGTCAATCAAAGAGGAGACAGAGGAGGCGGAGCCAGCGACAACCACAGAGGAAGAGTAAGTGATAGATCTTGTGGAGAATAAGATGTTAAATTAGGACATTGGATATAAAAAGTTATCTCAAAGAGAGTTTGATGGAACATTATGCATGTTCACTTGAATAAGAATATTGACAAAGAAGTTAATTCAATTTCCACTTTATGGTTTATAAGGTCACCTGAGTCACTCAGGTGACCTATTGCTATCCGTTTTTGTCCGTCGGCGTTCGTCGTGCGTCAGTGCGTTAACATTTGAACATTTTTAGCTTCCTCTCTGAAACCGCTCAACCAATTTCAACCAATTTTGGCATATAGCATCTATGGGTGAAGGGGAACAAAAATTGTGAATTTCATGGTCCCTGCCCCCCTGGGGCCTGAGGGGTGGGGCTAAAACCACCAAAAATAATGCAATCTTTAAAAATCTTCTTTACTCCTGGACATCAAGCACTCTAACTGTTGGCATCATTGTAATAAGCACTGAGCCCTCTACCAAAATTGTGAAATTCATGGCCCCAGGGTCAGGGGTTCTGGCCCCAGGGTGGGGCTATATAGATCATATAGTGAAAGTGCATTACTTCTTTGAAAATCTTCTTCTCTGCTCCTGGGTATTAAATAAAGTAACTAAGTACATAGTTATGAAGAGCAAGACTGCCTCTTCCAAAATTGTGAAATTCATGGCCCCAGGGTCAGGGGTTCTGGTGTTAGGGCGGGGCTCTATAGATTATATAGTGAAAATGCATTAATTCTTTGAAAATCTTCTTCTCTGCTCCTGGGAATTAAATAAAGTAACTAAGTATATAGCTATGATGAGCAAAAGTGCCTTTTAAAAAATTTTGAATTTCATGGCCCCAGGGTCAGGGGTTCTGGTGTTAGGGCGGGGCTCTATTGATTATATAGTGAAAATGCATTAATTGTTTGAAAATCTTCTTCTCTGCTCCTGGATATTTAATAAAGTAACTAAGTACATAGTTATGATGAGCAAGAGTACCTCTTCCAAAATTGTGAATTTCATGGCCCCAGGGTCAGGGGTTCTGGTGTTAGGGCGGGGCTCTAATGACTATATAGTGAAAATGCATTAATTCTTTGAAAATCTTCTTCTCTGCTCCTGGGCATTAAGGTGATAAACTAAGTACATAGTTATGATGAGGAGGTGGGCCTCTTCCAGAATTGTGAAAGCCATGGCCCCTGGGTCAGGGGTTCTGGTGTTAGGGCGGGGCTCTATTGATTATATAGTGAAAATGCATTAATTCTTTGAAAATCTTCTTCTCTGCTCCTGGGTATTATTTAAACAAACTAAGTGCATGGTTATGATGCATAAGGATGCCTTTTAAAAAATTTTGAATTTCATGGCCCCAGGGTCAGGGGTTCTGGTGTTAGGGCGGGGCTCTATTGATTATATAGTGAAAATGCATTGATTCTTTGAAAATCTTCTTCTCTGCTACTGGAGATTATTTAAACAAACTAAATGCATGATTATGATAGGCAAGGATGCCTCTTCCAAAATTTTTAAATATATGGCCTCAGTTTTTGGGGTTCTTTAGGAGGGGGGGGGGCTCTATTGATTATATACTGAAAAAGCATTAATTGTATTAATTAATCATTAATTAATCCTGTCTGCTCCTTGGTGATGAGCTGATAAATAAATTGCTTAGCTATGATGAAAATGGGAGCTTCAAACAGAATTTTTAAATCTTGTGGTCCTAGGGTCAGGGGTTCTGGCATAACGAAGGGGGGGGGGGGGCTTTTGATAATATAGTGGAAAAGTGTTAATTCTTTAAAGTCCATAGTTATGATGATGAGGGTAACTCTTCCAAATTTGTAAATTTCTTGACCCTTGGTCTTGGGTTCTGGTGTTAGGGTAAGGCTTTGTTGAATCTTTAGTGAAAATGCATTGTACCTGTGAAATTCTTCTCTGCTTCTGGGCATATCGGAAGAAAACTGAGTAAAAGTTTAAATGATATAAGTAAGCATATTTCTGCCAGATTTTTGAACATCTGGACCATTTGTTTAAGCATTCTAGTCCTGGGCAGGGCTCTATTAATTTGCATTTTACTGAGAGAAGTTATTCCCCTTTTCTATTCACCTTTGATAATTAATCACTGTAAATAATACATTTGGAAGGTTAATAGAATAGATAATTATGCAAGAATGTTTATCATATAATTCAAAAAGTATTTTCTTAGTTTTAATAATCAGGTAGACCTGTAAGTAATAGATAAATAAAAAGGAGACAAAAATAACTTATCTTATTAAAAGTTCTTCAAAGACCATAAGAGAGGCCAATGCTAGAGGTCTTAATATGGGTTTAAAAATAGTACAGAAGCACTAATAGTTTGTTAATAGTCTGCATGTGATAGTGTTAAGTGGGGGACAGATTAGAACTTAATTTATGAGTTGATACTGAATACTAGACTAATTATTTTGTTGATCCTGATCTTCGTGCTTCTCTTGCTTTAGGGCAACAAAGCTTCATCTATCAGTGTATTTAACTTCTAAATTGTTGTATTATACTCAGGTGACCGTTAAGGCCCTTGGGCCTCTTGTTATTTAACAATTGTCTAATGATCCTTGCAGCTCTGAAGACAACTTTGTGATCCCTGAGCTGCCTTACGGGAAGGAGCTGGTCATTAACATTAAAACTACATGGGGTGATAAGCATTATGTGGGTCTGACTGGGATAGAGCTGTTCTCTAGTACTGGAGAGTCTGTCAATGTCTCAAAGGTACATCTAGGGTTACTATAACATATACCAAGTAATTATAGGGTGAACATAAGAGAATTACTGAGAAATTAGAAAATTTGGAATCAACTTTTCTTTATGCACCTTAGGTAATTATTTTTCTTTTTAGTCAAGGATATTGAGTCTTTTGATAACTTTGAATTTGTTACAGATCACAGCCAAGCCCCTGGATATTAATATTCTTAAGGATTATGAAAAAGACCCTAGGGTAGTGACCAACTTAATTGATGGGGTGAATCGCACAAGGGATGATGTTCATATGTGGCTAGCACCCTTCAGTCCTAATGGAGACCACTTCATATACCTCACACTTGAAAAACCTTGCCAAATTGCTCTTATGAGAATATGGGTATGAGCTATTTATGCTAATGGAGTAACTTTGTGTTGACTTGTTTTAATAGTCTATTACTTCCACAATATTATGTGTCTGAGTTGGTCATATTATGTAATGTGGCATTTTAGAGAATTTTCTAATGGGCATCAAGCAGGCAGATTTTTTACATTATTATAATAAGCAGAATAACCACAAAAATTGTGAAGTCCATGCTCCCTATATCATGTATGTTATTGTAGATTCAGGCCCCAGGGTAAGGTTGAATAAATTCACTATACAGTACACCTTTGAAAATCTTTTGTATTTTTGGACATTTAACAATCTGTTGTAAGTTATGAACTGTTTACTAATTTTTGACAGGGTGAGGCTAATTTAAGTGATCATATATTGAAAATGACTTTTTTCTTTAAAATTATATTTACTCCTTAGCATGTAGAATTTAAGATGGTGAACAAAGACTCCTTACCAAAATTGTAAAATTCATGTCATATGAGTCTAGAGCTCCTGTTCCAAGTTGGGTTGACTATATTATTGTCGTAGAAACTCATGATGCTCAGGTGACCCTTAAGGACCATGAACCTCATATATAAATAGTTTATGATTAACCAAAATTAAGATTGTTTTGTATGATTGAAATTATTTCTCTTTCAGAACTACAATAAATCTCGTATTCACTCATACCGTGGTGCTAAGGATGTGGAGATTCAGTTGGACAACAATGTGATATTTGTAGGAGAGATTGCTCGAGCTTGTGGAGGGATAGAGGGTGGAACTGAGGCATTCGGTGATGTATGTTTAATAAGACTTACCTGTAAGAACAACACATAATGACATATTCATATGGTGAAGTGAACCTGGGCCAGCTTATAAATTCCTGTTTACTGGATATTGTTGATAAAAAATTTTAATGTAGTAAAATAATTAAAAAAGTCTTGCATGAGTACAAGATTAATTCATCATTGCACCACTTCCAGCAGCCTGATTATTAAGTTTGAAATTATATGGATATTTATGAACAATGTATTTACCTGCAGTTTTTCATTAATGTACTTCTTTGAAATGTACAAGAAATTTACCGTTAATAATGAAAATAAGTTACCCCATAGCTAAATGAGGATTTATTCAGGAATATATTGTTCACAATATTCACAGACTTCATTAGAGTGTAAATGGAAACTTTTCAGACCATCCTGTTCACAACAGATGAGAACATTCTGGAGGCTGTGTCTAAGAATGATGACGCTTATGAGGGTGACATGTTAGATGACACGGAACCAGATGATGTTCCATTCGAGCGACCAAGTACAGCTGACGCTGGAAGTGATGAGGTAAATTTAATCCAGATACATTTGATACATCTTGAAAACTAGGTGTACATTACAGAGTTTATTGTTTGTTCATAAGCAATATATATTTTTTTTTGGAGAAGAAAAATGAACTGACTTGAAATAAAATACACATGTACTTGCGTTTTGCATGTATAGTGTGCACTTGTGTATATAGTGCATTTTGTTGAGATTTAAAACACCTCGTCTCACTTCTGGAAAATCTTTTTAGAAAAAAGTATAGTTAGCACCCCATAAAATGAGATTTAAAAAAAATGAAGTAAAAATAGATTTTTTATCGATAAGCAAGGGCATGTACCAGTATGAGATTTGTCCTGCTAAATCAAAGACTTAAGCACCTAGCATGAAAAACAGGATAGTGTACATGCATTCATCAAAATTTTCATCATGTTTTTAACTATCAATGAATATCAAATGCATATCTTTAGTAAGTACAGCAATTAAAGGGTGTAAGGATTATGCAAGAAAAAGTGCTCAATTTGACAATAGAAAGAGAATTTGTAGCTCATAAAAAATGTGTAATTCCCCAAGGCCTTCTTTTATGATAGAAATTGCAGGGGAAATGTGCACTATACATGTACATGCAAATCATAACATTACTCTTCCCAATTTCATATTCCCTTGTGCTTAATGATTGTAGGCAGGATCTACAAATGTGAAAAAGGTACAAATAACTGTTATACAGGCTATGTTGTCTTACTACACTGGAGCATAATTCACTTCTCACTGTACATAAAGGAAGAAATGCTAATTATTTCAGAGGAAAAATTTTTCCAATCATTTTTCTCTCTTGCCTTCTGATATGTCTATAGCTTATACACTGTAGTTGTTGTAAGTTCTCTTTAAATCCTTGGTTTAGATTTTTTTTATTTTAGATAGAATTCCTGCAATGTTTCATGTATTAAACATTTATAGCAAATGTTCTTTTGAGAGTCACTTTTTTCTCTCTATCAAAGTGAAACACATAACCTTTACATTTAAAGTAAAAATGTGAAGCTTTGTGACTGCACAGTTCTAAGAGATTTGACATTTGTGTATACTTAGGACCGACCGTTCACTCGAGCTCAGGGAAATCTGAAGAAAGAGGAAGAAGCTTCTATCCCATCCCGCCCAGCTACCAGTATGGTTACAGAGGGGGATGTCATTGTGTTCAAAGGAAAAAGTAAGTCCATTGCAAGACATATAATTACATGTACTGTAAGTCTACTTTTTTCTAGGGAGTCGTAATCTCACAGAATCAAAATTTCTGTTCAATCCATGGGTTAGAAAATTACGCGAATTTCTTGAATTTTCATTGTTGTCTTAAATTCACTTTATATATGTTTTGACAAATTTTCATGGAAAATTTGTGAGGAGGTACATAGCATAAATTAATCTCATATATGTACGTCTACAGTATATCAGGAAATAAAAACCAAAACAGATTATCAGCGAAAATGTGAGAAAGCTGTATCACAGTTATGAAGCAATGCAAGATAACTTTAATGGATAAATTAAAATTTATCATTACATGCAAATATATTAATAGATAAACAAAATTATATTGATTAATTTTTTAATTTAGTTTCTATCAAAATAGGCTAGTAGAATTTTAATACATGTCATGGAATTATGCCAAATAAAGTCACCATGAATAAAACGTGATTAACAGTGTATATGTATATTTAGAGTTTTCAGTATTCAAAAGATAAAATGTCTGTTCAGTGTCAATGCTGTATTACCATAAAACAATAAGATTATGTTGTTGGTTTAGGTCTTCAGCTGAACTTCACAGACACTTGGGGTGACCTCCATTACCTCGGTCTGACAGGACTAGAAGTTCTAGGAAAAGATGGAGAAGCTTTTCCCGTCTCTCTTGATATGTTAAAAGCCAGTCCCTCTGATCTCCATCACCTGCCAGGTCACGAACGAGATGACAGGACACTGGATAAGTATGTCACAAATCAAAAACCTATTATACATTGTTAGCTCAATTTTCAATTGAATTTTTCGATTTTTTTTTGCTGAATTCAAATTATATCATCAATTCCTTATTTCATGGGAGTAATTCATTGACTCAAATTGATTCATAGACATCAAATCTCAAGGATATGAAATTGCAAATGGACTATTGATCAACAGTTATTGAAAGTATTTCAGCAATATAATATTAAATGAAAGACAGTAATTCACAAGTGTTGTTTTATTGCAAAATAATGGGATAATAAATTCCCTGCACATACATTGTATAAAGTAATCTTAAGTACTTTGCACCCAAGTACTCTGTACACATGTGTATAGAGTAAACATGGATATCTTGTATATACTACCAGACAGCCTGCCTGATCACATGGAATCAATTTTACAGAGTAATCAATGGTAATAATGTGACGTGTGCTGACGAGAACATGTGGTTGATTCCATTCAATGAAGGCCAGAATCACACACTTACAGTAAACTTCAGTCAGTCATTAATGATGGCAGGGCTGAGAGTGTGGAACTACAACAAGAGTCCCGAGGACACTTATAGAGGTGTAAGTAAACAACTACTGTGGAATCATTTAAATTCGTGGGGGTCAATGTTCGTGGGCAAGCAAATTTTTATTGGTTCGTGGGGATGTAATTTCATTGATCCCCAACGAACAATGATGATTCCACAGTAACACAGAGGTGAAAGTAAATCAACTATAGCATGTCCTACATAAGTGCTTCCACCACATTTTAAATGATATCAAATAAATTTGACTTATTTTCAAAGAAAATATTATTAAACATTATTATTTAATCATTACCAGTTTTAGCTAGAGTGGGTATACACAGCTTGAAACAAACAAGTATGACACAATTTTGCAAAGTCTGCGCAAATTTACAAATAAATTTCAGCCATTGCTGTTAAGTGCAAGGGAGTTGTCATTATTTCCAGAAATTATTTGAGTGTGACATTTAAATTAATTCCAAATGTGTACTACATTGTTACATTGTTGACAGTGAGGAACAAAAATCAGGAATGATTATGGATCCCCTTCCAAAGTGGCAGCCATTTTTGCAAAGTTAAATTCCCATAGACTTTGAATTTGCTGCTATGTCAATATATACTGAAACGCAAAAGAAACGCAACAAGCAGTACTTTACAAATACTCGAATTTTTTATCTAATGATTATCAAAAATGAATACATTAAGGTAAAACTCGATTTAAAAACATCAGAGATTTGATAAAAATGTTAAATGATTATCTTTTAACTTTAGAAAGTAACATATGACTGTTAAAACACACACACACACGGTCATTCAATTACAGCATGCAAGACTGCCATGCATAACAGCAGCTTGATTTCTATGATGCAATAGGTTCATCAATCTCGAGATCTGAGCGAAAGAAATATTCTTTGCCATTTTTAAATGCCTGTTTTTCAGATGATGAGGTCGAATTTTCTCTAGCCAAGCGCAGTGTAGTAACCCTTGGACTTCCGGTCCAAGGACTGCCATTCATGCTAATGATACGTAAGAGCCTGTTGAGGTGTGATGTGGGTCATATTTGCACCTGCAACTCTCCATCACCTTTATTTTGAGATTTTCCAGTTAGAGCAATGGAAATGTGTACTTAAATCATTTTCAGGAAGCCTTTGCATTGCTTACGTAAAAGAAAGGGGAATTTATTTTTCGGAACATTGCTGCATTAATCATGATGAACAGATACAAATCCTTAAAACCCCATATTATTGCCAAATGTCTTGTTAAACCTGCAATTTTTTATTTCTGTTAAGCGGACTCAAACTTAACTTCCGGTAATGGTATGAAAATCATTCAACCGTTAAATTACTGATATTAACAAAGTTAAAGATCTCCTTACTTTTTAGATACAAAATTATATCCTGTATGTAATATTTTCCCCTAAAATATGATGTTGCGTTTCTTTCGCGTTTCAGTATACTAAGGAAACTCTAGCATTCCTATCAAAACAGAAAGTTGTGGAAAAAAAGATCTTTAGATGGAACTGTGTTCGAAATTTAGGGTTTTGTATTTTGAGATATAATGCAAAAAAATGTTGATGTTGGTACCTTGGGACAGATTACACAACAAAAGTTCAGAGAACACATACATGTATACAGAGGTCATGTAAAACTCAAATATCAGTAATTGTCTTTTTCAGGCTAAGATTGTCCATGTGAAGATTGATGGTAAACAAGTATCTCCCCCTGATGGCTACCTCATCAGAAAGGGACCTGGATACTGTTATTTTGACTTTGCTCAGGAAATTGTGTTTGCTGCCCAGCAAAAACCTGCCATACCCCCCACTTCAGAAACTAAGATGGAGTCCTCAGTTAGGTTAGAAAAGAAGTCCAGTAGTTTCAATTAACTGAAACAATTGTTGTACCCAGAAGTGTTAGAGGAGCAAGTACAGAAATTATCTTCACTTAATTAAAAAAAAGAGATGTAATATTTGTCCTGATCCCCATATGCTATGATAGCCAGACTATTACTGAATTTGACAGATGATAGAATGATTTAATTATTTATTTTTTTTTTTAACACAGGAGTTCTGTCACAGATGATGGTGAATACGAGTCAGTTCAGATGCCTTGTGGTTGTATCCTTTTGCTAAGTGCTTACTGGTGATCTTTTAGATCAGTTAGAGATGTTAAAAGGTTAGACAGAAATAGGATGATTAGCTTCCATTGCAGAAAATGGCAGTAAAATCATTATAAAATCCCCTCACAGAAAAGGTGGACATTACTATTGAGATACAGTAATTATGTCATATTACACCCTTTTGATGCCTTTCTCAATAAAAAAAATATATATTTTTTGTGAAAATATATTCAAAATTCCTGTATGCAAATGTATTTTCATATCTACTTATACTTTCTGATTGTGAATTAATCAAGAGATTTAATGTCTAACATTCCTTGACTGTGTGAAGTTATTTACCAGTTACACCTGATTTCCACATGGGGAGATCCGTACTATGTGGGTCTGAATGGAATCGAGATGTATGATGCCAGTCACAACAAAATAGAACTGACAGAAACAAGTAAGATTTTATGTCTGTTAATACATTTATTTCATGTCATAGCTAAAATTGTTCTTTGTTTTTCAAATCCCAGCCATATATATTTTAACAGTATAGTTTAATTTCAATTGTCACATTATATATGTTTTGCTGGAATTAAAATTTTACCTTTCGCTATAATTTTTCGTACATGTACACTTGAAAGTCATTGATCATGTTTTCTGTTACAGATATAGCAGCATATCCAGACAGTGTGAATGTCCTTGCAAATGTACAGAATGATGTAAGAACACCAGACAAGCTTATAGACGGAGTTAATAGTACGACTGATGGTAGACACATGTGGCTAGCTCCCATCTTACCAACTACAGTAAGCAAAAAATGTACCTCTGCATAACCAAGTCATGTAGTCATCCTCAAGTTAAATCAGCCATTTATTCATCCTCAAGTTTAATTTACCATTTATTAGTTGGTGATGGAGGTATAAATTCAAAATATTGAGAAAAAAAATGCTATTTGAATATTTCAGTTAAACCGGGTGTATGTGATATTTGACCAGCCTACAGCAGTGTCTATGATAAAAATCTGGAACTACAGCAAGACTCCAAACAGAGGAGCCAAGGATATAGCTGTAAGTATATTGTCTAATTAAAAAGGAATTATCATTTTAATTCTTCAATGGTTATGGAATACAACTGTACAGATATTTGATAAATCTAAGAAGTTGCAAGAGATGGGTTTGTTTAAAGATAAAAGAGCTGAAGGCAGATTTTGGATGTCACTTTTCAGCATACTTTTGAAACTACAGTAAAACTTGTTTAGTACGAACACGGATATAGCGAATGCACAGATATAGCGAATTTTTCTTGGATCCCCAGCAATAAAAATTTAACGAATTTCTTATACGGATATAACGAATTACGGATATAGTGAAGTAATTTCATAGGTCCCAGTGACTTCGTTGTAATCAAGTTTTACTGTACAGTATATACAGATGAGAGATGGGATTATTCGTGTTTTACAGCTGTTGGTTGATGACCTGTTGGTGTACAATGGAATGCTACAGCCAGTGAGGGCAGGGGCCAAGGGCATCGTCCCTAACTGTGACACACCTCAGACTTATCATACCATCCTCTTCACTGACAATAAAGACATCATCAGGAAGGAAAAACATTCCATTATCAGGTATCTACTGTGATTCAAATCACAAAAATATTGTTAAACTTCTTTTAGTATGAGATTTTTAATGGTCTAGGTATTGCCTTGTATTATTGTGTGTACATTCCTGTATTAATCAAAATGTACATCCTTCATAAAAAATTCTCAGTTACATGAACAAATGTACTTCACCATTTTCTTTTCTAAATTGTCACTGAGTATATGTATTATTTTATCATCAGTAACCAAGCAGGAGAACAGGACATCCAGCTGACCAATGACAAGATTGTAGTGGGTCAGTATAATGACCCAAAGAAGGCCCAGCAGGGAAAACCAGTCAACCAAGGTAAAAAAAAATCATATGGAGTCACATGTAGTCACCTAAGTCAATGTGCACTTACTAAATACATTTTGTATGAGTTATGTAACTTTATGCATAGTCATATCAATCTTACTACAAAAACTTTATACAAGAGGCCCAAGGGCCTTAACGGTCACCAGAGTATAAAACAACAATCCATAGAAGATCCATAGAGTATAAAATAAACTGATAGAAGGAGCTTTTGTAAATATTTGATCGTCCATTGTGGCCCCACCCAATCCCTAGAGTCCAGAGTCATGATTTGAACAAACTTGAATCTATACTACCTGATGTTTCCATGTAAATATGACCAATCATGGCTTTGCTGTTCCTGAGAAAAAGATTTTAAAAGATTTTTCCTATATATTTCTATGTAAAACTTTGATCATCCATTGTGGCCCCACCCTACTCCCGGGGGTCATGATTTGAACAAACTTGAATCTACCCTACCTGAGGATGCTTCCAAATAAATATGACTCATCACGACTTTGCTGTTCTTGAGAAGATTTTTAAAGATTTTTCCTATATATTTCTATGTAAACTTTGATCATCCATTGTGGCCCTGCCCTACTCCGGGGGTCATGATTTGAACAAACTTGAATCTACCCTACCTGAGGATGCTTCCAAATAAATATGACTCATCACGACTTTGCTGTTCTTGAGAAGATTTTTAAAGATTTTTTCTATATATTTCTATGTAAACTTTGATCATCCATTGTGGCCCTGCCCTACCCCGGGGGTCATGATTTGAACAAACTTGAATCTACACTAACTGAGGATGCTTCCATATAAATATGACCAATCAGGGCTTAGCTGTTCCTGAGAAGAGGATTTTTCTATATATCTCTATGTAAAACTTTGATTGTCCATTGTGGCCCATCCCTACCCCTGGGGGTCATGATTTGAACAAACTTGAGTCTACACTACCTGAGGATGTTTCCATATAAGTTTCATCTTACCTGGTCCAGTGATTCTTGAGAAGAAGATTTTTAAAAGATACCATTAATTTTTCACTAATTCTTAAGTATCTCCCCTTGGAAGAAGGCGTGGCCCTTCATTTGAAAAAACTTGAATCATCTTTACCCAAGGATAGTTTGTGGCAAGTTTGGTGGAAATTGGCCCAGTTGTTCTTGAGAAGAAGTGGAAAATGTGAAAAGTTTACGCACGACGCACACCCACACGATGACGGACGAAAACAGATAGCAATAGGTCACCTGAGTGACTCAGGTGACCTAATAAAATGTACATAAAATGTTCATGTTAAATACTGTCCAATATGTATGTGAAGGAAGGAATTTGTCTCTGTACATAATTTCTGTTCAGACCATAGCTTTTAACTTTAAGAAATAGACATATCATATTCAGCATATATGTACTGTAATGATGAAGCCCATTTAGAAGCCAACTGAGTGAGTTAGATTTATTGTGATGTTGACTGATTTTTTTTATTGCGATGTTGACTGTGAATATCATACAAGAAAGGGGCACCTGCTGTCAGGGGGCAGTAACTGTTGTTTTACTCATGGGTGGGATCAGTACAGAAATGTTTCAGTATGATTGTTATACGTATCTCTTGCAATTATTTTCCAGAGCTGAGACCAAAGACCAGTGTTGTGGCCCACAAGAACAGGAGATGATGACCTGGGAAACAAGAGCTGGCCCTGGGGAGGTGGATTCTACATTAGTGGAACTGCCATTTGCTTAGAACACACAAGAACCCATTTGATTTCTGTTAATGCAGTGTAGATAGATTCCAATATATACTGTGTGGTATCGATTGAGATATTCTGCTTTTGAATATCATTACAGTTACTATTACAAAAAAAAAAACCAGATAGGCATGTACAATATGTGGGAATCTGCTTTGCCCAGTTTGAAAAATCCTAGTTAACCTCATCTGGCAACATATTTTATGAAGCAAATGGTTATTTTTCTTCAAATAAATGACTTAATATCTAGCTACTGCTCACATTCCATATATGCATGTATATATATTGTACAGTATGTTACTGAATGATTCAGTTGACAGATTAGTGCTTTGAAATATGTCATATGGTGAAGAGACCGTGGTGGTAAATTTACCAAGCAGGTGCAAAAGCAACTGTTGTTTTGTTTTTTAAAGTTCTTTGAAATGCACCTATTTGGCAAAAAATCATGTGTTCTTACATCTTTTTTTAGTTACTTTTATGACACTGGTGCTGATAACCTCATTTTTCCATTGTGTTGAAAGTTTAATTGTAGACAATTGATCAAGATTATTTTTAAATCCTTGCTTATATGTAAATGAAGTTTTTGCTGCCATTACTTTCTTGGGTCAAACATTACCATAGTGTACATGTTTCTGAAATTTTGTTTCACTCCAAGTCATGTTCTTTCTTTGCTAGAGCTTTGTAGATTACAGTAGAATCTTATTAATAAGAGTTGGACTTACCACAAGTTTTTAAACTTTTTTTTGGGAGGGGGGGGGGCTTATTTAAAAAAAAAAAGGTCTTTCTGTGAAAAATAGCTTTAATACTGCCATTAGCCATATTTTCCACTATGCGTGGTTGCTATAGTTCATGTACACCTTCTGAAATTTTTCATGAATCTAGTAATTTTTTACTACTTTATCTGTCATTAGCAATGGATTGTCGGAAAAATAAACATAAGATGCTGATACATGTAATGCATTAAGTACTCTTAAAACAAACTTGAATTACACCTAGAATTGTAAATAGACCAAGAAAAAGTAACAGGAAAGATAAAGGGATAAATTAAGGGTAATTTGTAGTTGCAAGAATTGTGGAATTTCTATTGAATACATACTAACCTAGGTTTATGGGCATTTGATCCTTCACAAGAACCTAAATAGAATTCATGTACTTGTATCTGTTGACGTAAAAAGAGTGAAAATTTTGTTTTGTTGATCTATGTTAAGACTATGTAAGAAGGGAACATGTTTACCTTTTATAACATGATAAGTACTGTTATTGTAAGGTAGACAGAGATGAAAATGTGATAATTAGATACTCAGAAATAATGGCTAATGTTGCCAAGCATATAAGATTCAGAGAATGTAATACTAGTATTAAGGCTAACAGTTATGCTATTGATATGATATTAGTTCAAAAGGTTGTGGACTTTTGAAGTCGGTACTAAATTTGTCATGTGTGAAGCTTTAATTTATTAGTTATGTGTGGTATGCTTGTGAAAATTCCGTCCATGTCAAAGCAAGAGAGAGAGAGGAATTGTTATTATACATGAATTTTATTAAGTGCTCATTCTGTTACTTCAGCATTCTTGCTGAATGTGATAATTTTGTTATACATATCTGTGGGTGATATTGACACAGTGTCACACTGTGACTATCACAATAAATTTAATATCATTGTTTTGTTTTGTTTTTCACCATGTCCATGGTTAATGATGTCCCTGAGATTTTGCTGAATGATACAAATTTGTATAAACAAGCATTCTGAGAGTATTGCATTAGCAATACTAGTTCCCTACTGACTAGTGTAATCTGGTTCCCATTAAAAATTGTAAATGCCATAATTCCGTCAAAAATTAATGAAGTGGAATGAAATGCAAACTTGATCTATAACTCATCAAGGTAGAGTCAAATACATGTACATGTACCAAAAATCAGTGCAATATCTGGAAGAGTTTAAAAAACAAGTCGCGGAAAACCCTTAAAAATTGCTGAAAACCAAGTGGGACAGACGGACGGATAGCTAGACAGAAGGACGGACAGACTCGGAGGAAACATATAGTCCCCTCCAATTTCACCGGTAGGGGACTAATAAGAGGCCTAAAACCATCTGTATACTGTAGCTGAAAATTAACACCCCTCCATGGAGCTGACACAATTATCATTTTTGACTTTGACCTTTGAATTGCTTCAAACACTGAACACCTATTATGAAACATACATGTAATCTAAATTGAAGTATACACATAATCTACATAGAAATGTGAGGAAAACTGGTCCAAGGACAGAAAATATTAACTCGGACTAGATCTGTATTAACCTTGACCTTGAAATGTAGTCTGTTCATAGACATATTAGGTCACTGCATACCCTTTATAAACTTAAAGGTCACTGCACACCCTGTACATATGGGCACTCAGATGAAGTTTGAGGCCAGGAGAAAATACATTCAGGACAATTAATATGATCTCTAAATACTCCCTGCAAAGATGGAATTGTATATTTAGCTTATCTGAGCCAAAGTCTGAAAAGAACTTTTCTGACATGCTTGTACCTACACTGTGCATCTTGTGTATTAACTTTTTACATTTTTTACTTCTCCAAAACCACTGGGCCAATTTCAATCAAACTTGCCACATAGCATTCTTGGGTTAAGGGTATTAAAGTTTTTTCAAATGAAGGGCATTGTCCTCTTTCTAGGGGAGATAATTAAGAATAAGTGAAAAACTAAAGGCATCTGTCAAAAATCTTCCCAAGAACCCTTGGCCAGAAAAGATGAATCTTACGTAAAAGCTTCTACACATAGTAAATTCAAGTTGTTCAAATCATGACCCCTAGGAGAAGAGAGGGGCCACTATGAGCGATCAGAGTTGTACATAGGAATATTTTGGGAAAATCTTTTCAAGAACAGCAAGGCCATAGTTAGTCAAATATAAATGGAAGCATTTTATTCAAATCATGGTAGGGCCACAATAGACAACCAGTTTTATAAAGGAGTATTTTGGATTTTTTTTTTTTTCACTGTGTTTACACCTCATTGCAATGAACAAGCTCGAGACTACCTGAACATTGCCTTCTTTTCATCCATTTCTCATAAGTCGATAAAAATTTGAAATCCATTCAAAATTCTTAAAAAACAGGAAGATACATATATTGACTTTTTATCTTTAAAATTATATGGTTTGTTTTGTAGGTAAAAGGCACATACAAGCCCAAAAAGTTTTGTTTATAATGCATGATTGTTATTTTCAGTGCAACTTCTTTTGTGATCTCCAAACTCATGCCAGAGCAGATATGCTTTTGTTTTGCTACATTGCAAATACATGAGAGGAATTCTGACAGGGTCTGTACCCGCACACACCTAGATTATTTTAATTAACCAATACACAGCTAACTACCAGGTACATCCATCTTAGTTAAAGGACACAATAAATCTAATCTTTAATCTTCTATTTGTCTTATTTCAGAAGCAATAAATAACCAACAAGAATTCTCTCAACTGTATCAAGTTTTATTAAACTTTCAATAGCTTGCTTTACATCCCCAAACAAAATGGTTAAATAACATCTCCTGAGAGTGGAGGTGGAATATATGTATTACTAAAAATGTCACTATTAATTGATCACTCTTATATCTTGGCCGGGAACGCTCCATTTTCAAGTGCATCATCCCATCTCTCAGTCTGTAAAATACAAAATATTTCTTCAAATCTTTAAAGATAATCAATTAAATTTATGAAAAGATTTTTTTAACTTGTGCATTAACAGAAGCACAGCAACCAAGGACAGAGGAAGTGGAGGAATTGTATTAAAGTCTAACTTATGGAAGAACAATATCACTAACAATGTTCATGCATCAAGTGTGCTTCTAATACCGGTAAATAAGTTGATGCTTTTAAAATATATGTAGCTTACAAAAGCCAAAGCACCTTATTATGTGTAACACCTGTCAAATGGGCTACTTGTCCCAAGAAATTCATGAAAAAATAGGGCCTTTTGTATGAAACATTTATGTGTGAAAATCAACAAAAATCATTATTAAAGTTTAGATAAAAGATAGTTGGGAAGGGGATTGAAAAGGGTGGTGTTAGTTGTAACTACACATATAATTCTCCTACTCACCCAGAAGCTAGGGCAGATGGATGTATACTGTTTCTTGAACCAGTTACAGGGTTCATAATCCTCTCCTTTCTTTTTTATACACCTATGATAATCCACGTAGTTCTGCCAGCATAACCTGAAAGAAACAATTAATTTGCATAAATACTTTATGAAAAGGAATACAGTTGAACTTTGGTATCTCGAACACTGATATCTCGAATACTAAGGATATGTCGAAGTGATCTGAAAGTCCCAACCCCTTATTTTTTAAGTATTTTACCCGGATATCTCAAATCCTCGGATATCTCGAAGTTTTTTCTCGGTCCTGTTGAGTTTGAGATAACGAGGTTTAACTGTAAATGTAGTACATTGCCATGTGTTTGCTAATTTTTTTTTATTGAAGTTTAGAGGCACATGACTATTTAAACTAAAGGAATAGAGATATGAAGTAAACGCTTCAAACAACCTAAAAGTTACAATGTAAGAGCTTACTACAGTATGCAACATATGCAAGAAAGCTTTATACACAGTGTGGCCATATTGCTCAGAATGGAGAAGATCGATCAACTTATCCAATTTTTTTAATTAGAAAGTTTAAGGAAGTCAGGAACACATATATATTCTTAGTCTGTTTTCTTTCTTTTACTACACTTTCAATTCAAATTATAGCATGGAGAGAAAAATATTTTTGACTAACAGAAATTGTCTGCTCTGGGACTTTCTGCCACTTTGTTTTTGATTTGACATCCAAGCATGGTATTTAGTTTTACAATCACAAATACTATCAAAACTAGTTATCTCAAAATCAATGGAGTTAAATTATATAAAGAAAAAGTACTGGGACTTTGACCTCATTTTTACATATCCATGGTGTTCAAGATGAAGAAGTTCAACTATAAACCTGTTAACTTCAATCAATATTTCATTTTGTTGTCCCTGGCATACTTAATAATTTTTGCGGCCTTTAGATTTAAAATAAGAATGGATAAATTAACACAAAGAGATACTCAGGTCTTTCTGTGATGAATATTTTCGTTAAGTTTTTGATGATGTGACTTGAACTTAAAGATTTTTAGTGGGGGGGGGGGGATCATGACTCCTCCCAGACAGGTTTTCCTGTTTCTGTTCATCTTATTCCAGGTCCCCGATAAAAAAAGTTATCTATCTGGCTAAATATGAGATTTCAAGATCATGATTGGTTGTCCATAACAGAGAAAAACACAACAGCTGATAAAAATTGTTTATGCAGATTCACTTTCCAATCCACAATCAATCTTTATAATAATTTTTAATATAGCCAGTATATTATGCTTCTGTTCATTTTTGCAAACTTACTTGTCCTGGTTGCAGAGTTGAAATCTTGCATCAAATTTGGCAGTGGACAAAATCTTTTCTGCTTCTTTATCATTCTTCTTTGCATTTTCAGCATACATGCCAGAGAAACTAAAAGGCATAAAAAGAACATTATGTCATCACATAAGATATGGTACATGAAATAGCAAAATCCATAGAAAACTAACCAAGGTGAAATAAGCTAAATTTTAATAAAACCAATAAATGGACTTTAATTTGTTTTGTACGTATATATAATTGTAATCTCTTAGAATTAAACTATTTATATCTCAAATCTCAATGTTAAATTCAGCAGCCTTTACATTTTGCATGTCAAGATTGCTGGATGTCTTCAAATAGACTGGATGAATTGGCATTAGATAGAATGTCCTTTAAACATGAACTATTTTTATCCAGATCCTATCAACATTCAACAATAGAAACAGTTCCCTAGGCTGAAAATGTAGCAAAATAAACAGGGGTAGATTAACCTAAGTGTGCATGTATATTGTATATCATGAACAAATCTAAGACTTTCAAATGTTGACATGATGGATAAATTTAATGTGAGTAAAAACATTGAAAAATGTGCAGAAATTTGCAAATTTGCTATGTATACCTGAACAAATTCATTATATGGATATAATGAATTACAGATAGAGCGAAGTAAATTCATAGGTCCCCAAAACTTTGCTGTATTTACTTTCAAAGTTGACGTTTCAAGCCAGATCAATTAAAGTGACAATGATACTCTTAAGAAGTAAATTACAGGGGCTCATCACAATCTTACCCTACACCAGAGCTGCCAACATCAGGTAAGGAGGGGGTCCAAGAGCTGCCTAGGCTCGACAGCTGGCACTTTTTCCCCCATACTGATTTAGATTGAAAATTAGCATAGAAATGGACAATGACATACGTGTAAGCACTATAAGGACTATGACTTTTTATTATGACAGACTAACAGTGAAAAATAGAGGTTGACAGCTATGAAAATCTTCATATTTCTAACTTTGACAGGAAAAACATAAATCGTACAATCGTAAGGCATATTTTAGATGCCTAACCATAAGCCTTACACCAAAATCGTAAGGGTTTGCAGTTCTGCTACACTATATCCTTAATTCTCATTATATCGCGGGTTCCATTCTATCGTGGTATTTCCCAAAAATTAGGATACATAGCTCATATCCTTTTTCTTGATGGACTATCTGTCTGTCGTCTGAATGTTGACTTTCGTGATGATTAATAAATATGGAACACTCGTTGGAAAAATATTTATTCAAAGAAAACAAAATTTTACAGATTTCCATCCCCGTTTTTATTTTATTTAGACCATTGAATATATAACTATGTAAAATCCATAATAAAGTTCATATTTTGAAAACCTTAAGTTTGTATTATACTTAATTTTTCATGTAGATTTACATCATAAATTATAAAAATAAAAATTGTACTTTGTGACCATGCCAAACCTCCATGTTCTCAATACTGCGATACAATGAGACTCTCCACTTTTGGAGGTAAATAAGACTTCCTGTTATAAAAATAGACTACAAAGTAAACGAAGAAAGCTTAGAAAATAATTAGCCACTAAAAAGTTAGGCCATTAATAGGTTTATGAATAGTATTTGGTGAAAAGTTAATGTAAGAATTTGGAATAACTTTTTTATGCAAAAGAAATAAGTACTGCGATATTATGAGACACCAGTATAAAATACACAAGGGAGGAATCAAAACATAAAATTTTTGCCATTTCACTTTTTTTTTTTTTTTATCTCATTTCAATTTTTCTTGAATGTTACATTTCACATTCTAGGTACGTATTTCATGGTTTTTGATGGTACAACTGCGCTCGCCCCAACGGTCACACCGTAAAACATATTAACTTAATAGCGAGCGCAGTGAGCGGCGCAAAGTGCCGCTCTTCACTGCGAGCTCTAACGACAACACTTGGGCGAAGAGAAAATTCGGACTACTGCACATTCATTCAATAGGATTTTTTTCCGATGTAATTCTGGACCCACAATGCATCGCTTCTTGTTCTCGCTGCTAACTTCGTTCGCGCGGTAACAACAACTAAAAATTCACACAAAATAAACTCACCTTAATTTAATGGATATTGCATACAGATAGTAGATTAAACGTTCCTTGTTAAAATCATTGCACTTTTTAAACTTTGTTTATGGAAATGCAGCTAACATACGACGTCATGTGACGTCACAGTCTAGACCACAGGGGCTTGCTCCCGGCGTGTAATAATTATTTTTTAAAAAAAATCATATACCGTAATACTAAAACAACACAAGGGAGGATGCCATTTTGGACCCCTTCCTCGCTTCAACCTCTGTTTTCGTTATATTTTCCTGTATTTTACTGACTCACCGCCTCGGATCTGTCAAGTAATGATTCTTCTAGGACATAATGCTTAAATTTTCCCCTTGGAACCTCTACAATACACATTTCAGACTAATAATAATCCAAACTCGCTCTTTAGGACAGTTGATAGGGACAGAAAACGAAAACACATTCGAAAATCTCGGGGTTTTTCTACTAGTTAACACAGCTGCTAATTATAAATTTGAAAAAACCGTGTTCTAATTCCGTATTCGAATGTAAAACGCCGAGGTTACTTTCGTTTTCTGTCCTTATCAACTGTCCTAAAGAGCGAGTTTGGATTATTATTAGTCTGAAATGTGTATTTAGAGGTTCCAAGGGGAAAATTTAAGCATTATGTCCTAGAAGAATCATTACTTGACAGATCCGAGGCGGTGAGTCAGTAAAATACAGGAAAATATAACGAAAACAGAGGTTGAAGCGAGGAAGGGGTTCAAAATGGCGTCCTCCCTTGTGTTGTTTTAGTATTACGGTATATGATTTTTTTTAATAAATAATTATTACACGCCGGGAGCAAGCCCCTGTGGTCTAGACGTTCCAAATGTCTCGTGCGGTTTGAAGAGGCGGATCTTAACGAATGAAGTGAACAATGCGCTCGCCCCCACGGTCGCACCGTCAACATATTAAAAAGCATGATCTAATTTTACTTGAACAAAAAAAGAACATCGTCGTAGCTGTTTTGTGAAACGGTCACAATTCCATTTCCTATCAAGAGGAAATATCTATAGCATTTACAAGCAAAAATTTAAATAATTAGTGTTCTCCCTGTCGATTCTTTACTTACTCTCTAATGATTTGTGTCATACTGCCTTGTGACAAAATCTCAAAAAATTCTGAAGATGGAGGTCGGATGGCGACTTTGAAAAGTAATTTAATGCAGACCGATCCCGACTGGTTTTAGTCTTTCGAGCTCGACTAAGAACCAACCACGTAGCTACCACCTAATCAACCTGATCATAGGTGAATCTAGTGTGGGGGGAGGGGTCGTGGGTCCAACCCCCCAGAATATTCAGAGTCATTAAATTTATATGTAAATGTAAAATTGACTAAGGAGGCGTCGTCTCCCAACCCCACCCCAACCCATCCCATATAGAATTTCCAGTTATTTATTTATTTTTGCTTGTCAAAAAATTTCCTATGGTCAGTAGAGTGACATTTGTTACAGTTGATGATGCCCCCCCCCCCCCCTTGATAAAAAAAGATCTTGAATCCGCCCGCGATAATAGTATACCCAAGAGCAATAAAATCAATGCTTTATATTTTCGCTTCTTT